AAAAAGTTCTTTAAGTGAAATTGCTGAAAAAGGAAACCAAAGTGTTAACAGCTACTGATTATATACTAATTTATGCATTTGTAAAGGACTTGTCAGTATTAGCTACCTGGTCAAGTAAGTAATGCACCAGTGATAACCCACCATAAAAGCCCTCATAAATGAAAGCATTAATTTCATAAACAGAAGTGACAAGAAAACACGTGTCAGCTTATCATATGATTCTTAGGAATACTCACAAAGTGCAAAGTAGCTAAGGGCTCGTTTGATGAACAGGATAGGATAAGGACGGATAGAATAAAACTTGAGAGGGTTGGATAAGAGTAGGAAATGATTAATACATGATAAGCTCATATTCTATCTCGTGTTTGATATGCACTAGATAAGTAGTCAAATATGATTATGTTATCTTGTGTTTGAAGGGAATTAGACAGCATCGAGATATACCGATATAATATAAATAAACAAAAATATCCTTTATAACATGATTTCATATAATTTTTTTAAAATTGATTTTTAAATTCCTCTTTTTTCTTTCGACTTATTTATAGATTAATTAATGTTTACTGCACCAGTGGTACCCCACCATAAAAGCCCTCATAAATGAAAGCATTAATTTCATAAACAGAAATGACAACAAAACATGTGTCAGCTTATCATATGATACATAGGTAAGGGCTCGTTTGATGACCAGGATAGCATAAGGACAAATAGAATAAGACTTAGGGTTGGATAAGAGTAGGAAATTATTAATACATGACAAGCTTATATTTTATCTCGAGTTTGATATGCACTAGATAAGTAGTCAAATATGATCATGTTATCTTGTGTTTGAAGGGAATTAGATAGTGCCGGGATATAATATAAATAAACAAAAATATCCTCTATAACATGATTTCATATAATTTTTTTAAAATTGATTTTTAAACTCAACTTTTTTCTTTCGACTTATTTAGAGATTAATTAGTGTTTAAAATTTATTAAAAGAAAAGAGAAAAATCATAACTTTAAATAAAATATATAAAATAACTTGAAAAAAATTCAAAAAAAAATTATATCTTTACCAAATAAATTTTTAAAAATAATTTTTAAATTGATTTTAAATTTTTATGTATGTGATAGTATTTATATAAATTTAGAAATTTGTTATTTGGTCAAAGTTAATGAAAAATAGATTTCAAACACGCACATCATGGTGGCGGTGGCAGTGGAAGTGGCAATGGTTGGTAGTGATGGTGGTGGTTAGTAGTGGTGGTGGATGCGACGACCTTGGTACTGGCGGTAGTGGTGGTGTATAGCCAATGGAGGCGGTGGTGGTGACTAGCCAGTGGCAATGATGATGGTTGGTGACGTCAGCGGCAAAGGCGAGATAGTGGTGTTGGCTTGTGGCGATAGCGATATTGAGACTGACTATCATGTTTGTAGGGAAGGTTAAGAAGGCAGAGTTAATTTTGGAAGAATAATTTCCTATCCTATGCTATTGAATCCTAACCATGTCCCTATTGGGATAGCTTATAAGGTGACAGGATAAAATGTGCCAAACTGGCTCTTAGAGTAACAGTTCCACACCAGAGCCCAAATTTCCAACAATAACAATATTTACAATGATAATATTGTACCAATGTGCCAATCTCGAATGTCGAACTTGGCTCACCAAACACAATTTGACCTTTTCAGTTTCGTGCAGTGAAATAAGACAAATCTAGACTCACGATAAATAAAGATTGAGAACGTGAAGAATAAACTCAAGGACAACCCTAATTGGCCATCTAAGAAAGTAATAAATCACTTCTATTAACACTCACATAAATATCATTCAGTGCGTATCTCCTCCGAAGATTGTACAACACCCCCGGCTCATTCAAGCAAGCCAACCTCGTCATATCTTCGACTCCTCCATGCTCATCTTCATCCGCATCCCTAGGAAGCAGTTTCTCCGGAAGAGCAAGAACCTGCACAACCGAAACTCGCAAAACAAACATTGGAGTTATTCGCGACCATTAACAAACGCAATTAGGCAAAAACAAAACCCTCACCGTCTTGCCAGAAGCCGTTGAAAGGCGAACTTGCTTTCCAGCATATTCGAGTACTTCAGCAGGCACCCAAGCCAAATCTCTGTCAGGGACCCAAACCTTAGCGCCGTTGCGCAGATTCATTGCGGGTTCCTCCTGCAATAGGGAAAGTGATGAATTCAAAAGTGAAACCCTAAGGTTAGACTTAGACCTAGAGTTAGGTGCAGAATTGCAGATGGATAGTAAGGTTGAGGAGGTTCTGCTGAAATTTGGGGTTCCCGCCCTAACAGGTTAAACTATGAGTCAAAAAAATGGCTAAACTGCACAGTATTTATATCGTATTCGACACGTCACCACCATGTCTAGGGTGTGTATGTGTGTCAGTGACTTTCGATTTTTTCACTTATTCATATTCATTTTCTCATTTCTTTACAATCACCGTGCTTCATTTTCTTTTTCTTTTTTCTTTTTGGTAAACATTCTCTTTTTCCTTTTTTGGAAACACATTCTCTTTTTTCTTTACACTCACCGTTCGCTCCATTTTCATTTTTACACTCTCCGTTCACTCCATTTGCATCGGCTGGGTTCATAATTTTGTAAGTAAATTTATTTATTTTTTTGAGTAAAGCGTCTTTTTGTTCTTTACAAAAAAAAAATACTCTCGAGTCCATAAAAAATTTAAACTAAATTCATTTATTTAAAATTGTAGCCTCTCACAAATTCAAAAAAATTCATATTAATCCCTCAAAAGAATTAAACTAGGTCTATTTTGAATTTCATAGAAACGGGTGACTACTTTTTTATAAGGAACTAAAATAATGACCGTATTTTTTTTTTTAAGGACCCAAAAGGGAACTTTATCCTTTTTATTTTTTTTAGAGGAAGGTTATATTTTATAATTGTTTTTCTTACAATCTTTTATAATTGCAATAAAATGGTATTAATTTGATTCTAATTCTAAAATAATAAAGTGGCTGTTAAAAATTGTAAGGAAAAAAAATTGTAAAGTAACCTATCTCTTTTTCTTAATATGATAAGTGAATTAAGGTTTTACAAATTTATAAAAGTTATTCCATAAATAATTTATAAATTTAATTATTTTAGTACTTAGGGATTTTTAAAATATTTTACCTTTTAAAATATATTTATGTCCTTAATAATTAATGACTAATATTTGTTAATTGTTATGTAACTTTCTTACTTTAAACATATATATAAACTTTCTATATTTAAAATAAACTGAATAAATAATTAAATATAAATCATTAATTATTCAAAACTAATATTTTCTTGATTTTAAGGATATTAAAGTAATTCTTCATAATTTAATGGTTGGGAATCGAAAACAAATTGATGAATATCTTTCAAATTTCATGGTATATATATTATTTATGGAAATAGGATATTCATACTATCATTTTTTTTTTTACTATCAATCTAGAGTACATTTTTGTATCTTTCTTTTGAGTTCATCTACCACCTACCCCAATTAATTTAGAATAAAAATATTATTGATGTTGATCAATCTATTGTCACTCTAATCGCCGTTTTTGCTAAAAAGTTTGACCCAATAAAGATCAGAGTAGTGTTGAATTTGTAGTAAAAAAAGTGGTAATATGAATATCTATTCCTTTTGAATTGAGGTGTTCAAAATTTTATTTCATCTTCCAAAGTTCTAAAATCAACAATGATAGAGAGTTTTAAATTAGTTATCCGTGACACTAAAAGTTATAGAGAAAGAAAAAAAAACCATGAAAGGCTTGTTTAGGTTGATCATTAAGAGATTTCTTTACATTAAAATAGATTATAATGTAATATATTTTTCCTCTTAAAAAATGTAATTTAAGGATTTATATGAGAAAGAAGTATAATAAATCTTCTTCATTTTTCTCAACAGAAGCACAAACAAAAACAAATTTCATTCGTTTATAAAAATAAAAATAAAACAAATTTCATTTTTATCAACGTAAAAGAATATTTCTTCCTTTAGTTCTGTTTCTCCTTTTCCTTACGCTTCAATCATCGTTATCTTATTTTTCTCCTTTTTACTCAACTGGTTTGTTTGGTAAGAGATAAAAAATTTATACATCAGTTTTCAATACAAATTTACTGATAAAACAAATTCATAAAAAAAATATCCAACTTTATTCTCATACCAAATTGACCTTTATTTCCAATCCCTATTGATTAATTGTCCGTGAATAAATTGTGCATAATTAACTTTATTATGATACCCTTTATGTTTAAATATGTTACTTAAATTACCAAAACAACGTATTTTAGCCTCACAGAGTCACAGGCCTGGATATTCGTCGAAAGCATTCAAGAAAAATTAGACCTTAGAGCTATCCACTGATTAGCATGGAAATTCCCACAAGTAGGTGATCGAATTGTCTAATTATCAATTGAAAAAGAATGTAATTCTGGTTTTCCCGTCCCCTTTGATACGCAGTAGGGGGTAAAAAAATGTTTTAAAATGACTTAATTTTGAGAACTCCTAATAATAAAAAACATTTTCAATTTAATAATGTTAATAAAAAATAATTACACCAACATAAAAGATATTGGTAATTGCCTTTTTAGTTAAATTCTGAAGTAAAAATTTTGAAATCATTAATATGTCAAAAGATTACGTAATGAGGACAATGACTTTTTTTTTTCAGCTAACGTTATTTATAGTCTTTAAGATTTCCTGAGACGTGCAAGATGCTTGTTCAAAACCTAATGATTGTCTTTTAAGATTTATAATGATATATTTTTATAGATTTATTTCGCTTTTAGCTACTTACTCTAACAAAATGACTTCTAAAATGTTAGTACAATTAATGCAATATTAAGTAAATACTATGCATGCCAAAGGAAAAAAAAAATACCTATTCATTTTTCCTAGTTTATCCACGCGGATCAAATGGCATAAAAAAAAAAAACTAGACATTTTTCCTTCTGGGTTAAAAAAAAATACATTAATTCTTCATTTGATTCTCAAAATCCTCACGCACTGTTTTGAGAGATTACCTCTCCAAACTTAAGGAAGAGGTGGGCATCAGAGGTGCTCATGGATGGAGTTTTAAGATTTGCATACTCATCATCATCCTTGTAGCATTGCACTTTAGCATATGATTGTGAATCAGTTAGTGCTTGTATTGGTGGAGTGATGCATGGCACAAGACTTCCCAGTACACGTGTCACCTCATGCATTGTAGGTCTATCAACTGGCTGACTCTTTGTGCATAAAAGAGCAAGCTGAAAAACCTTTTTTACTGCTCCCATGTCCTTGCATGAGGCTGTAATATCCGGATCAACAGTTTCCATTACCTCATCATTAGCTGTCTTGGACAAAATCTATACAATTAAGGAATATAGCTGTTAGTATAAGATAACTGAATATTTAGTTAGGTATATTTGTCATGATTTGATGCAACCAAATGAATGATTTTATTATATCTCTAATTTTTTTCATATTATATTTAACCCACTCTCTCATTCAAGAGTTTTTTTTTATACCAAAATTGAAGGGTGAATAATGCACGATTCCACCTAACCTATCTTTGTTCAATCATGCAAAATGACATCAGTGTAAGAATAAAAAGTCTTATGTATTTAACGGCTCAAATATCTAATAAATCAGAACCGTTAGATATAAATAAAATCAATAATCAAGATTGAAAGTATAACTTACACGGTATAAAAATGATCCTGATCCATAAAAAATATATATATAACTAGCTAGCTCAAGGGTCATGATGGGGACCAAAAAAAAAAATATATAAGACAGCAAGTTTAAAACCGATAGTAAGACTCACCATATGATGAAGGTTTGATTCGTTGTCAACAGCTTTTCTCCCTGTTAATAGCTCAAGTAATACAATACCATAGCTATACACATCAGACTTCTCAGTGAGACGTGCAGTTCTGGCATACTCAGGATCTATATAGCCAATTGTGCCCATTATAAAAGTTGAAGTGTGGGACTTTGAGGGGCATAGACTTTTGGCAATGCCAAAATCAGTGAGATGGGGCTCAAAGTTTTTGTCTAATAAAATATTAGGTGATTTAACATCCCTGTGAATGATACGTGGACTGCAATCATGGTGTAGATAAGCAAGCCCTTGGGCTGCTCCAAGTGCTATTTTTAGACGAAGATCCCAATCAAGCCTTTTCTTCTTGGTAGGTCCTGCAAAAAACAAATGCATAATAAAATCATACATAAAATCCTTGCATGGCAAGAAAGTGCTTTTTCCTGAAAGGGTGTAAACGCATTGGTTAGGTTCATAAGCAGGGTTGATATTACTATTATACTACTTATATTGAAGAGGAGATTAAGGAAAATACTGCTAAATGCAGGGTTTAATATGCATAGTTTATGCAGCAAATCATGCAATGTAGACTATGTAGTACATCTACAGCTATAAAGTAAAAGCTTGAACTTACCATGAAGGAGATCCCATAGACTGCCATTTTCCATGTAGTCAAAAAAGAGAAGGTTTCCATACGGAGATAAAGAGTAGCCTTGGAGACTGACCAGATTCCGGTGCTTAATGCTGCCAACTGTCTCAAGTTCAGTCTCAAATTCTTTCATGTATTGTGGATAGTGAGAATAGAGCCTCTTGATAGCCACTGGCTTGCAATTCTTAAGAACACATTTATAGACTGCACTTGATGCACCATATCCAATTATATATTTCTCACTAAGGTTTTCTGTCATTCTCATGATATCATCATATACATGAAGCGCCATATTCATGTGAAGAATCACTAGCTTTGGTGGGGAGTAATTAACTGTGAATTAAGCGCCAATCAGTAAGCCAGTAAGCTTATCCTTCAGTTTCAATAAGCGCAATTAAGATAAGTACCTGGTTTGGCAAATGATCCGTCGGGAAAACGAGATGAATTGTATGGTAGGCGAGCTGCCAGCAATATCATAAGAAGAATCACAAGAGCAGTAAGAGCAATTCCCAGAATAGCTGACTTAGACGACATAACTGCATGGTCAAAAACACATATTACCTCATTTTGCACGTCACCCCAAAAAGCTTTATTTAGCTCTAGAAGGAAAGAATGGAATAGGAAGAACAAAGTTGCTCTTTGTAACATCTGTACCAATCATTCTGAATGACATATGCAGTGATAGGAAAATAAAAAGATACATGTGGAACCTTGCTTTACTTTTCAAAATGCTGCTATGTTAATGAATTGAACATATACATAGTGCACTCTCCGAACACCAATGTTCCCTTATCTTGTAGGATCGCTCAAATACAGAACCAGCAAATAAAACAACTATTCAACAATGTCGTGAGGACTTGTGGAGAAAGAGAACATACTTCTTCTGTAATATTTTACTAAACTTCATTGCTACTCAATACTTCATTACATCAAGCCTATTAATAGGCAACACAAAAAACTGGAAGTACCAATGAAGAGACTCATTACAAAGCTAATCAAGAGTCTCAACACCCTCATAACATCACTAATTAACTACTCATAACATCAGCCATTATACCCCTAATAAACATAACATTTTAACTTCATAACTCACATAAGAAAACCAAGAGACAACTGACTCTTCAATATTTTAATTGACACAAGAAACTAAAGAGACACTTCAACATTAATAACAAAAAAATAACGACCGACTCTTAACCTTTCAAGACTCCTAATATAAATGCTAACCTCATGACTCATAGACTATCCATAACTGACAAATTTAAACCCATTAAAATAGCATTTAACGTTTACTTAACATATCTTGTCCTCCCAGGTATACCAAAATAAGAGAACAAGGGAAAATCTTTTGGGGTAGGAGCTGGAAATTACAGGGTTCTCAAAGAGGAAGTAACAGGGTATTGCAGCTAGAAAGCTCAGCTTACCTCGTTCTGCAGGGTGAGTCCCATGACAATGCGAATTCAGGCAATAACAACAAAGACCAGGGTTTCCAATGAAACTGCAAATAAAAGGTCACATAAATCAATAACTCCCAACAGAAGATGCTGATGACTCCAGGTAAACTACATTGAGATGGAAAATAGAAGCAATAAAGGCAATGTTCAATAGTAAATGACCTAACCTGTCAGGGGAAAACCTGGAAAAATTGTTGCTTGTGGGAATAACACCAATCAGGTTGTTATAGGAGACATTACTACAAAATTTATAGTCAGTATTCCACTAGTTAGGTAAAAGTGAAATGGTCTTTCCATAGAACTATGATGCCAAATTATTCAAAAATAAGAAATTGAAGAGACAGAACTTACAGCAGAGAAAGACTAAGGCAATTTTCAAGTGATGTCACGTCCCCAGACAATTTGTTGTTTTCTAGTCTCCTATAGAATTTCAAACCAAGAGATACCATTAAAACACAAGTAAGAAATGTAGTAAAGTTATTAGTCTACCATGATCGTCCACAAAATTTACATGAGAAGGACAGGATAGAACACTGTTGAGATAGATAGTCCCACATTGGTTGTATGTGCAACTAATGTGGCCTTTATAAGGCCTTGGGCACTCCCACCCTTAGAGCTAGCTTTTGGGGTGGTAACCTCAAGGTTCTTAACATGGTATCAGAGCCTCGCCGCCCCCACTTTCTCTTGTGGTGTTTCTTAGCACAGGTAGGTTGGGCCTGTTGCATTGCCCACCCTTCAAGCCCAATAGGCTCTGGTGTGAGGGGGCGTGTTAAAATAGATAGTCCCACATTGGTTGTATGTGCAACTAATGTGACCTTTATAAGGCCTTGGGCACTCCCACCCTTAGAGCTAGCTTTTGGGGTGGTAACCTCAAGGTTCTTTACAAACACAATGGGCAGTCATGAGTACATTCAAATCCAATTAAATAAAACTAATGTCCATATTCAACAAAATCTGATGAATACTAGATTATTGAGCACAGTTTTTGAACAGGTCACCCGAAAAAGGAGAAAAAAATTATTTCTACCATCTATCATTAGACATCTGTTGGTAGAATTTAAGGTACACAGTCCATTGCCAAATCCGTAAAATAACATCAAATTTCATTAGCAAAAGCATCAGAAGGAAGCTAGAACAAACACTGAATAAGGATACACAAGGACCTTACAAGGATATCATGTTCTGAAGCTGGCTGAGTTCTAGAGGAATCAAGCCAGTGAGGTGATTATTTGAAAGATCGCTGAAATAAGGAAGCATGAAGATAATCAGTAAAAGACCATCAAAAGATTTGTTATTTTCATCAGAAAGGTAATGGACTTACACTTCCATGACGCTTCTTAGATTACCAAATTCTGCTGGAATAAACCCCGTTAAATGATTTCTGCTCAGATTCCTAGCAAAATGATTACTAGCAATCAGTGAGAAGAAACAGTACAGATTTCAAAAAAATAACTAGTTGAAGAACTCACAGTTTCAGAAGATGTTCCAAGTCACCAAGGGAAGAAGGAATGGAACCACTTAAATTATTATTTGAAATATCCCTGGGAGAAAAACACCTATTAGTATGAAGTCAGAGAGATTGGTGTAAGGAGAGAAATCATTCATACTTACAGTGTATCCAAATTACCAATCTGTGACAGTTCAATAGGAATTGAGCCTTGAAGATAGTTGGAAGAAAGATTCCTAAGGTTGGTAATCACAATGTCGTGTAGGAATAAGAATCAATTAAGCAAAAGAGTAATAGGTTGAAGTTTGAACTGTTAAGTATTGGCCAACCATGTTAGGAATCCAGATTAGCATCCATGAATATTTGTGTGTATCAACATGTTTAGGGGAAAGAACAGTACTAATCACAATAGAATAGCAGATATGTTCAACAAATGTCTCATAAAGTCAAGGTGAAACTTACAAATAGGTCATACTCTCCAAGCTCTGAAAAGCTGAGGGGACTGTTCCACTCAACTTATTTCCATGCACATTGCTGATACAAGACAATAGGAAAATCCATCACCTAGATGAAATGTAAAATTCCTTGTAACCAAGTAAATTATTTTAAGGCTTATTGCATACAGGCTGTTAAGATTTTTACACGAGCTAATATTATCTGGAACTTGACCCTCAAGGTTGTTGTTAGCAACATTTCTGCAAGAACAATGCATGACTCGTCAAGTTACTCAAAAATCAACAAAATTGATGCTTCAAAGTAACAGCACTCACAAGTCAAACAAATCAGTAAGCTTTCCAAGCTCGGGTGGAATATGTCCACTTAATTGGTTATCATTCAATTCCCTGCACAAGAAAATGAATCATTAAATGACAAATTTAAACCAAGTTGTGCCTCTTGATAAGAGGTCTTTTGTTAAAAAAACTCAGCTTAAAAAAAGGCAACTGAAAATAATTCTTTTTGGAAGTTGTAAAATTCTAAATGAGATGATGACTATTGCCAGGAACCCACATGCTGCTGATTTCGAGTGTCTGAAAAATAAATACAAGATACATATGGTCAACTAATTACTAAAGCATCTTACAAATAGTGAAGCTTTGTCATATTTCCAAGCTCCGGGGGGATGTGGCCAGTCAGCTTGTTTCCATGCAAATACCTACAAACATTGCAGAACATGAGTCTAGAAATTTTCTGAGTTTCGATGCACACATTTCAGGACAAAATCAAACTAATGGATATAAATCCAAAACTAATATACTTACAATTTTTCTGTGTAGGTCAAATTTCCCAAGATAGGAGGGATTGGTCCACTTAACATGTTACAACTCAAATCTCTGATAGAAAATCATAACAAAGGAACCATTAAAAGAGGCATCCGTAAAGAAAATATCAAGTCAACGAAAAAACTTTATAAAGTTTTCCTCAGAAACTATTAATACAGTACTTACAAGACAGCAAGTGCTTGCATCAGACCAATAACCAATGGAATATGCCCTGAGAGTTTATTGCCTTGCAATGACCTAACAAGCTCAAAAAAATTTAAAGAGAACTTTCTAGCTAAGGGAACTGAAAAACCACATATCATTCTTGTTAAAATATCTGAGAAAGGATAATGCAATGCATACAGGGTCGCTATTTGCAGAAATCCAATATTGAATGGTATCTCTCCAGTTAGCTGGTTGTAGGATAAATCCCTGACACAGACATAGTATGTTAAAAAAGTAAAGAGAAAACATGGTATGGCAAAGTCTGTCATACAGATACAGTTCGATATACGTACAAGACCTGGAAGGAAGTACAATTGCCTATGTTCTCAGGAATACTGCCTGTCAAGCTGTTGTTTCTCACATCACTACAAAATGGTAGGAAGAAAATAATTACATTCACTTAGGAAATGTAAACTTTCGGGGCTTGGAATAAAAAGAGAGCCACTGTTGTAACTTACAAATACCACAATCCAGTTAACTGGCACATGTCTGGAGAAAGTGAACCCACCAAATTGTTACCTCGCAAGCCACTATCATAGGAAAAGAAAAAGACACAAACCAAAATTGACAGTAAGATCACATTATAGGGTCAAGAAGAAGCAAAAAATAAATAAGTCAACGAAATGATAGATTTCATTGCATATTAGTTATACTCACAGATATTGCAAAATTTCATTCCAGTATATAAGTCTTGGTATCTCCCCGCTAAGATTATTTTGTGCCAGATCTCTAGAACCAATTTTTCAGAAGTTGAGAATGTTAGTTATAGATCCCAAAATTAACTTTATGAATAGAATGAGTAAATGGAAAAATGACTTACAGAATCTTCAAGTTAGGAATCTGAGACAGAGTTGAAGGAATAGGTCCAATTAGCTGGTTATTTTTCAAAATTCTGAAAGCACATTTATGAAAAATTAGTTATCATAACCTCACCTCATCATAGGCATGGCAAAACAAAACTTCAATGAAAGAGAAATGCCCCCAAAAACTCACAGATTTTCCAGTTGTTTCAGCTTTGAAATTGAAAATGGTATATCTCCCCGAATATCATTAAATGACAAGTCCCTGGTAACACAGTAAAATATAAAAGTTTCCCGTATGACAGTTTTACTAGGCAAAATTCAGTTTTTCTGGGAGTGAAACGTACAGGCTTCTCAAAGAAGAACAGTCACCAATCTCATCTGGTATCTGACCAGATAGACGGTTTTCCTTGAGATCACTATCAAACAAGAGATACAAACAAAGTTGGTTATCCAAGCTCCAAACATAGCACCATGAAGGATGAGCTATGACACAAGTGCTACAACTATATCTGTTGCAATTATGAGAAACGAAAAAGTTTAAAGTAGAATAGTAAGTACATAAAGATCAAGTTGTTAAGGCTCCCTATTGCAGGTGAAATTTCGCCCTCAATATTCAATCCTGAAAGATTGCTGCAAAAAGAAAAGGAGTGGAAAAGAATATGAAAAAGGGTATTCTTATTAACAAGGAACAAGGTGAAGAAGCCAATGCACATACACACTATTCAAGAACAGTGCTACTTACAGAGCAACGACATTGAAGGTGACATTATCACATGTGACCCCTCTCCAGACACAATAATCTGATGATGGTGAGTCTGTCCAGTCATATAGAACGTTATCCACATCCCTGAATGACTTCTTTATCTCCAACAACGTTGCTCCTTCAATTGAAATATCCACACATTAAACATGTGGAACACAGAATTGTAACGAGGTTCTTCCATATGAGCAACTAAATTTAACTGCACTCACCCCTTAATAACCAAGGGCTTAGAATCCCATTATATAAACAAAAACTCACATTTCTACTCAAATAAAACCAATGCATGAACATTGATGTTAACAATGTGCAAATCAGCAAAAACTCAGCTTTACGTCTTTTTTAGGGACCCCTCAACCCAAAATAAAGAAAAACTAATCAAGGACTTGACTTTCTAGCAATGGCAGTCATAAGGAGAATTGAGACAAGGAAAAAAAAAACACGACAAAGCGAACACTCACCATCATCTGAATCCACCGAATTGACATTGAAACAAAAGAGAAAAACCAGAAGGAGGAGTTCACACCGAAATGCCATAGCACATCAAGGCCCTCAACAACAACCAAGAAAGAAAATCTCTTATTTAGAACTTGTGAGGAGATACATGACAATGTGTGTTGTGTTGGGTTTGTTAGTCATTGTTCTGAGTACTCCTCACTCATCTCTTTAGCTTTTTTGTGTTTCATTTTTTCTTGTTTGAAGGTTATGTTACAGAAGAAGCAGGGGCTTTCCTTGTTCAATCACATCACATCAACCTGGCACATTGACCATGCAAAAGACTGAAGAGGGAGAGAGAGATAGAGAAAAATTATTTTCACAAATAAAGTTAAAACTATCTGCCACCACTTCTGCTATGAACCTGTACAATGCTTGTTTGTTTTCTCTCTCTTAAGTCTTAACTACATGCTGTGCTAATGGGATCCCATTCAGCCATTGGAAACTCTGAATGACACTGTGCTCAATGCAATGCAATGACATGCCATTGTAAGGGGTCGCTTTCACTCTTTCGAGATTTCACAGATAAAAGAGTAATGTATGTAACGAAAGGCAATCCATTTTTTATGAGCTGACAAAGGCACCTTTCTCTTTCTCATGTTCATGATGTCTGATTTTGTTTTTTTTTTTCTCTTGTTTAATATTTGATATTTATCCCGTTGGTAGTACTTATGGATGCTAATATTAAATGATGTGGTTCTCAGCTATACTTTCATTTTTGGGATTAATTTTTTCATTTACACACAATATATGAGTGGGATTTACAAAAAAACTAAAAAATTAAAATGGATTTCACTTTTTAATTGTGAGTGTAACATGAGAAAATTTTCTCACATAAAATGAGAAAACTATTTTCCTTCATTTTTTATACAATTTTTATTTCATTTTAAGAATGCATAAAATAGTTTGCTATAAAGAAATTAAGAAAGTACATGATCAATTACCATAAAAATAAGTATATGAGCTAATGTTTAAAAGAAATACTAATGCTTATAAATTTATATTATAGTAGTGTACTAAATGATTGTAGAAATTTCAATCACTTGGATCTTCATAAATTCTACTGTCACCACAATGACATGGCTATCTTAGCGTCTCGTTTATATCCATTGAATTGAAATATCAGTATACAGTATATATAAAAATACTAATTGGCTTAACCCATACCTAATCCAAATTATAATGAAATAAGGAAATAAATATTTACAAATAATAAAGATATTATAAATATATTCTTTCCAACCAATCCCATAAAAAAAATAAGAAAACGTGAAAGATACATTAACCAACGTGCTATGTTTTTCAAAAAAATTACCTAAATGACACGCTACCTTAAAATTTTGCTAAAATGTCACGTTGACAAACTCGTTCTCATTGGCAACGAGTTTTAACTGCCACGTGACAGAACAAGAGAAACTTTTTGCCAAAGTATGCTGGTTATAAAATCAACTCAATTTAAAAAAGTCATAACTTTTGGCTTGAATATTCGAATTGGGTTATTCTTTTATTCCATGTAACTTTTTGATATTTACACACCGAAAAATTCTTGAAGGATTATTTGTTAGTGTTAGAGAGTCAAAATAAGATTAAAAATTAAGCAATCTCATTCACAGAGATAAAATATGTCAAACAGAGCACATAGAAGTATTTTTTTGAAATTTTTTTTGACCAAATCCCTTTTGAAAATTTGTTAGAGCGTAGATATCAAAAAGTTACGTGAAATAAAAAAATCACCTTATTCGGATACCAGAGCAAAAAATCATGGTATTCCGACGTTTTACGATAAAGTTTCTAAAATTTTGTGTTGTAATGTCTGGCAACTTGCAAGGATCAATGACTGTCCCACAAATTAACACTAGACTTTTTAGCGTGTTTTGTCTTCACTTGCATGCTTTCTAGAAAAACTTATCAAGTCCTCACTTATGAAATTAACTCGCTATGAGTGGCAACGATTTAGACTAAACTTGCTGCTGACAGCGAGTTTGGTGGCATATTATTTCGTGCCACGTGAAATTTGAAACTCGTTGCCACTGATAGTGAATTCATCACTGTGGCATTTTAACAAAATTTTACTGTAACATGTCATTCATGTAAAAAAATTTGGAAAACGTGACAACATGATCAAAGTCCCAAGATTATGTCCTATATTTGTTTGGCATAAGTCCAACAAGCGAATGAGAGAAAGAGTTGAAATGACCCTGGATCCAACTGAGTGACAAAGAAATTTGTTAAAAAATTTTGAGGCTTTGAGTTAAACCACCTCCTTCTCGAAGGGGGGATTAGTCACATTTTTTTCCAAATTGTTTAATGCTCCACTTGTTCTAGTAAAAAGTTAATCTTAGGAGTCGTACTATGAAATAAGGTATTGAACAAAATTGTGTGAAGATACCTCTAGAATATCTAAAAAAATAAAATAAATGATCGTGGATCCACCTATGTCGGGTTATAGTTTATTTTGAAAGAAAAAAATATTTTATAAAAAATTACAGAATAAAACAATTTAAACACACACTTTTGTCTATTATTTATTTATCGAAATAAGAAAAAAGGAAATACACCTTAGTTAGTCTCATCATATATGATTAATGGAGATACACAAGTTTTAGCGGTTAATTTACTGATTTGATAATTATTTTTATTATTTTCTAATAAAAACAAATAAAGAAAAGTAGACCCCACATGGTACTGTGATTAACTTTAATAGAAGAGAAAAGAAAGTGATCATTAGGAGTGTTATCGGGTCGAGCCGAGTCGAACTCTGATCTTAAAAGGTTAAGTCTGTGTTTAAATGTGTTAGCCTGACCAAGTCTGTTACCTATTATGAATATAATTATCGACATGTGGTCTGACTTACTTACAAAAAATAAAAATCTGATTTAGCCTGTTTAAAAAAAATAAGATAATAATTTTTTTTTCAAACAAAATATACAATCAACAACACTAATAATTCCATAAATATTCATAAATTTCATGTATATTGATGCACTTACAGTTGACCCATTATACATAACATGGCTCAACCATTGATTCAAGAAGCTCGTAGGCAACTAGAGTTGTGCCCAACAAGAATGACCCAATTGTTGAAAAAGGCAATGATTTGAAACATAACAAATTACAAACGAATCCAAGTCCCAATAAAGCAGCATATGTGATTGTGATTTGTTTGGGAAGAAAAGTAAAGCAACATATTTGGCGTGATTTGAGATTAACGATTTGGGATGTATTTTGAATTATTTATTTGTAATTTTTATTTTATTTTTAGATGTTAATTACTTTTATATTTATTTTAAGAAGTTTTATTATTTTTGAAATTTTAGAATTTAGAATTTTGAATCAATTTATAATTTGTCTATAAAAGGGTGCTTATGGCCCTTATTCTAGGAGTTGAATTTTGATATTTTGTTAATAGAAATTGAGAACCGGAGGGTTACTGTCTTATAAAATCATAACTTTATATTTAGCCACTTTTTTATGCGTTTTCGGCATCATATATCCAAACAGTATAATATAGAACAAAATTATACAAAAAACCTGTTTAACTAATAAATTAGGGTGAAATAGATTGAGAAGAGAAAGAGAACTATTACAAGTAGTATAAAAATAAAAATTAATATACTAGACCAACCTAAAAAGCTCTAAAGTCAAACTTTTGAATTAGAACCTGAGATTTTTTATTAAATAAATTTTTATACAAATCAAAGTCGCATTTCAATAACTAATATTAGAGATATAAACTCATACCTTCGAACCAAAAACTCTTAAAAACTCGTGATTCATTTGTTACCTACTGACCATATTCAATTTGGGAAGGTCAATTGTCTCATTTCTCTTCTTCTGACTCCCCGTCTCTTCAATCATAATGGTTTCTTCTGTTAGGTGGAGGTCCCACTTATTATTTCAGACCCTATTAAATATTAATGTTGTTTTCCAAGGTCGTTCTCACGTCTGCATGTAGTTTTACTGTATCATATTGCTCTTTTAATTTTGTTGTGCAACACCAAGTCACCAACAACACGCCAATTTTAAAATTAATTTTTCAACAGATATGGCAATGATGATGGATTTCCACTACACTTTATCCTCCGTGAAAATTTATTAAGGCACACGGCATACCTCATATATATATATATATATGTATGGCTTAACATTTCTCACGACATACCTCATTATATATATATATATAGGGCTTAACATTTCTCAAGCTGTCGGAGATAACTTTATTTCTGACTACTAAATTATAACCGTACAAAGATTAATCAATGGTGATAAAGGAAGAAAGAGAAAAGGAGAATCATAATCATTCAAAGGTGAATCAATACATATAAGAAAATAAATAATTAAAACGACGTAATTTTGGAGTGGCCGGAGATAAATTTGTCTCAAGCAGTTTGAGAAATATTTTTCTCATATATATATATATATATATATATATATATATATATATATATATATATATATATATATATATCCACTAAACTTTGTCCTATTATAGAATAGCCTATAACTTATTTTTAACTTTATGTTTTTAGAAATATATAGTTATAGTATTAAAATTATTTTTTTAATTATATAATTTTGGAAATATATAATTAAAAATAGTTGCAGAAATAAATAGTGTCATTCTTACAACATAATTCTTATATTTCCGATATATGTGTGTGGTTTATATTTACAATTTTTCTTACTATCCAAATTTTTGTCCTTTTAAAGGATATAAACTTTATGTCATTTTAGATTCTAACCGTTATTTTCATTAATCAACGATTATAATTTATTGGGTCAAACTTATTATTAATAATTAATAATTTTGACCCATTAAATTATAACCGTTGATTGACGGAAATCAACGGTTAGGATCTAAAATGACACAATATTATATCCTTTAAAAGGACAAATATTTTTCCCTTTTTTTAGTACTAATGGATTAAATTAAATTAACAATTCTTATGTGATATTATTTTGTCATCATTAATGTGATTTTAATATAATGATTGCAAAAATAATTAAAAAATATTGTAAGGGAAAAGATATAATAAATATAACATATCCCTATATACATAAATATCAATTAATTATATAAAATTTTAAAATATGTTTAAAATTAATAATTAATTTATATATAGCTCTAAAAATAAATTAAAACAGAAAAGGTATTAAAAGTAGAAGTAATATATAATAAAATTTAAAAAAAATATAATTATAAATTTTAAAATTAAATAAAATGTCATTTATTATTCTTTAAAAGAGAAAAAATAAAAAATTAGATCAATCTCAAAAAAGTATATTTGAATATAATTTATAGTAATAGTTTATTAAATCATTTCTGTTTTATTTTTTTTAATTCAACTAGCTCTTAAAAATTAAAAGAAAAATCTCTGAGAAAAAAGGATATCAAGCAAAACTATTATCTGGAGGAGAAGGATCACTGTGTGAGTGGCAACACATGACATGCCCGATGATGCTTTCCATACGTGTTGAATTGAAATAGAAGAAATGTCAGGTTATGAATGGTTATGTTTTAATTTTAAACGTTATTCTATTTCTATTTAATCGTTGTTTAATTAGAAATTAAATTATTGAACAATTGAATCAAGATTTAAAAATCTACTTTTAATTTAATATTTAACTTAATCCTTAAAAAATTGAATAGAAATATGGACTATTAAATTGCAATGTACGTGTATTTCGCAGCAGGTTTGATTGGGATAACTGTGGCCTCACTGGGTAGGGGTGAAAGTGGGCTGGGCTGGGCCGAGCTTTGGCCCGTAAAGCCCAAGCCTATGTCAAAAAATTTCAATTTGGCCCGGCCCAATAGCATAGTATGAGTCTAACTGTTAGCCTGTCTTGGCCCATTTATAAAAAAAACAAATGGCCCGGCCTGACCCGTTGACCTGTTAATTTTTAACTTCCAAGCAGATCATGAATCAACTCCACAAAATACTCAAATTTTATTGTTAAAACAAAAATCACAATTAAAGCAAAATGCTCAAACTAAATAACATATATTTCATTAGATCTAACAAGTCAATCCATGCTATGTAAATTAAAATAACTACGTGAATACAACAAACACATCATGATGACTACAAGTGTAGCCAAAAAGGTTACATAAGTTGGCAAATAATTTGTAAATGTAGAAAAAAAAAACAAGAATAAAGAATAGAAACAAAAAAAAAAAAAATAAGAAACAAAAAAACCTTTTAATAGATTCACATAGGCAATCTCACATGCTGAGATATTGGTTCCTCCAACATGAAAATAAAGTCAAATTTCAATTAAAATTTAATTGAATATAATTAAATTATAAAATAATTTAAATTGATTAAATTTATACCTTTTATTTTTTCTTCAAGTCATACTTATTACGTAGCCAATCTCCACCACATATTAAAGCTTGAATGGTATATTCAGCCAAGCTAGAACGGTAAGGCTTAGCAATAACGATGCCATCTTACAAGATATGAGTAAAGAGTAAAATGAATTTTTGGTATGTTATTAACTCTAGTAACTGAGATTCCAAAGCAGAACTATCTAGAACAATTGGGCTAGCCTTGGAGGCTCATGGGCCAGGCTTAATATATTAAGCCTCCGGCCCAATTATGTAATCAAACCTTTACACCACCCCACGCCCAACCTGCTAAGTAAAAAGGCCGAGCCAGGCTAGGCCACTAATGGGCCGGGCTATAGGCCCCTGTGGGCCGGCCCGACCCAGTTTCACCCCTACTTGTGAGCTGTTTTGCTTTCTTTTTCACTTTCTCACCCAAAAAAGTTAACGGTGACCAAAATGTCATCTTTTGACAAAAATTTTATTCAAATGTCACACGAATAATACTTTTTTATTAGACTGACATATAAGCATAATTCGCTACGACTGGTAGCATATTATGTCCGCTAATGATTTTATGACACGTGACACACTTTCGCAGAAAAAAGCTGACGTATCATAATTCACTACCACGGATAGCGAATTTAGTCTGCAATATGATCACGTGTCACGAAATCATTGGCCATGAAATTCGCTACTAGTGATACTGGTAGCGAATTATGACACGTGACAGTTTGGTAAAAAATACTGTTCGCGTGATATTTATGTAAATTTTTTTATAAAACATGACATTTTGGTAACAAATCCCAAAAGTAAGTTTGGGGACTGTATAGCCTGCATAATAAAAAAATTATACTAATATAGAGAGAGATAAAAAAGATGACAGAAATACACGTTTTATAAGGATAGAAATTGAATTATAAATCGAGTTAATACCAATATGATAATAAATATGTATTTCTTGAAGAAGAAAAAAAACACAGCTATTTAACATTTCACAGGAATGTTCATTTTATTTTATTTTACAATGAATGCCTCCTTCAAACTGCGAAAGCTCTTATTATTAATCTCAATAATTTCACAAATATTTGACTAAATAGAAAGTCCTAAACATGAACATCAAAACAAAAAAAGCCTGCCAACACAGGGAGCCTACTAGCCTAGCTTTGAAGACAAGGCACACTGTTCAAGGCCGAGTGGTAGTAATAAACTAATAAATAAGCAAAAACATCTCTGCTGCAGTCTTCAGTGCAGGCCGTGACACAAGCCTGTATTTTGCATTTTGCAAGAGGCCACACTTCCATTCCTGCACTTCATGAGCCTTCGCACGGTTGAGCGCACTTGAGATATACAACACAACTATACACTTCCTTATTTTTATTTATATATTTTTGTTGAACAAACAGCAAAACAAAACAGGAGCTTGTTGGTTACAATTCTGATTATGATTATTTAATAAATGCCGAACTTGTACTCATACTGTCATGATAAGGGTCACCACCTCCGATGCATATTTTGCATTAAATATATCCATGTTCGAATGGATGGAAGATATGTTTAATATGATATTAGAGTGAGCCCTTTGTGGAGGTCTGAGACCCATGAAGCTGTAGAAGCAGTGAGTTGCCAACCACGAAGATGGAGCTCAGAGCCATCAGTCCTCCTGCGATTAAATATCGAGGGTGACAAACAGAAAAGAACCGTTCCTTCGCTGACATAGAATATACATTCGAAAACACGATACGGTAGGCGCAAAAAATATATGAAGGTAAATAGAGTACAATATAAAAATAGAGCCTTATTTACCTCGTTATTATATGAAAAGAAACGAGCGGTACAATGTTGCTCACCTGAAAGTGAAGGTGTCATAGCAAAGTCGAATTGGGGAAGTAACACGCCAGCAGCAATGGGAATGGCAACAGCATTGTAGGCTACTGCCCAAGACAAATTTTGGTACACTTTTGCCATTGTTGTCTGTGCAAGGTCTAGTGCATCGACAACCTGTCAATTAAAAAGTCAGTAAACTAATACGATGGAGAACAATAAGGTGGCTTAGCAAACATGCGCAGTATTAAAAGAATATCCTTTATTACCAAAAAAAAAAAAAAGAGTATCCTTATGATTGTGGAAGAAGACATTTCTATACTTTTGAGCAACAATTTAAATTTTTGAAGCTCCAGTTCCATCAAAAGGCATAAAATATGGACAGAAAAAAGAAACATATGGGAGTTATGTACCAAGAGAGCGAAGGTCAGCGCAAAAAGTGTCACATTTTAAGCCAAAGTATGGCAAAGCGAATTAGGCCAAGCCACGTGAAGGCAAACGGTAATTTAACCATAAATAAATCATCCCCACCAAACATATCTTACAACACCATACACCTTGCTTGAATATAGCATTACACGAGGTCGTAGCATGGCATATTTGTGTATCTTCCAAAAGAATACAAATGATGTGGCCTGCCTCTCTTCCTCCTATTTCATCATCTCTCCAGTAATAGAAGGTAACAAGCAAAACATTCAAAATATATATATATATATATATATATATATATATATATTTCAGTACCCATTCCTTGCGGAAGAAAATCAAGGGTTGGAATGACTGGGCGTAAAGGGCACCTAGCTTGATGGGCGCTTTACCTCTCCACGTCAAAGCAACCTCCTCGATCACAAATGGAAATGGTACACCCAGACATATATATATATATATATATAAAAGAACTGATTTCATTCATAAAAAAGAATTATATATCACATAATTGTTGTATCAGACAGGCAGATCACTTCAAAGCAATTTCAAAACAATGGCGTAAAAAAAAAGGATGGTACAACCGAGGCAGCATTCAGAAATGACATACTTGTGAAATTTTGTTCCCCAGAAGTATAATGGATGCTGCATCCGAGGCAGCATTCTCTTGTGCTTCATTCTGCAGAGCAATCCCAACATCCGCTACAGCCAAAGAGGGTGCATCATTTATCCCATCACCTACCTTACAGAAGGGGAGAAAAAATAATGTCTTAGTAAAATGCCATTTTTCACAAGCGCCCCTCCCCTCAAAAAAATTTTAAGAAAAAAGAAATTCACAGTACTACTCTAATAGTGAAAGAATTTTTTAGTGTGGGTTTCTTCCATGGCCATTTTATTCAATTAAGAGAAAGCATAAATATCTTAGCAACTTTGTAAAGAAAAATAAAACAAAATCCAATTGTTTAGTGTTACCAATACAAGCAATATTGAAGACCAAATTCACTGCCATTTTATGGACTAAGTGCACCTTTTATCATAGCGTGATTCTCTATTTAGCCAAGGTCAATACCCAATATAGAGAGAGTTCCAAAGACAGAGCAGGTGGGAGAAAAGAGGGGGCGGGGGGATTGACTAAGTATAGCTTGTTGGACCCTATGCTAACATAGCTGTCATCATACCATCGCAACATTATATCCAGCAGCTTTCAGAGATGAAATAAATCCAGATTTCTGCTGTGGAGACAAAGATGCTTTGACAAAATCACTTTCAATTCCAACTGTTTTTGCTATTGTTGCAACTGCTTCTTCCCTGTCTCCGGATAAGAGGGCCATTTTAATCCCCTTCTGCTTGAGCCTTCCAATCAAGGTAAAAAAGTCAGCCAGAAAAACACACATTCGGCAATAATAAAAGAGCTTACTTGAATTTGGCAAATACTCCCAATAAATAAAGTAAATATAGTAAACACATCCAGCATGTAGCGTACGTTTCAATGGTTAAACTTTAGCAACTACAACTAGTCCTAAATCCTAATGGAAAAGAATGGTGGCAACCAATTACTACATTTCTTTCCCATCTCAAACATCTGTCTAACCTTATTACAAATGAATATGATAATGTGCATTGTGAACTCAGAATAATGCCATAAAACTTTCTAAACCTTTTTGTAAAGAACTATTTCAACTTAAAAGCTTAAGCTATTGGGTGAGAGTACATAATGATTTTATATTTCTCTAACACGCCTTCTCACATGAAAGTCCATTGGGCTTGAAGGGTGGATGAAGCATCACGACCAGCCTACCTGTGCGAAGAAATTCCATAATACTTAATTATTTATTAACTGAATGGAGACAATAAGGATCGAACTCGTGACCACTTGATTACAGAGGTTGGCTCTGATACCATGTAAAGAATTATTTCACCCAAAAACTTAAGATGTTAGGTGAGGCTACATTAATAATTTTATATTTTTCTAACACTTTCCCAAGAGGAATAGGCAGTCAGAACAAAACCACATGCATATATAAAAAGTGGGCATAAGCACAAAAAAGTGAATTCTTGGTAAAAATATTTCCAGTTTAGGAATAATTAATTGCTCATGTAGTTAATTAAGTCAATAAGTAGTTACTCATTAATCACATACTGAACATCATTAAGCAGTTGGGATGTTCCAAGATTATAGGAATATTTTTATCAGATTTCTTTCTAGCAATTTTACCAGGAACTAATAAAATGGGTAAGTAAGAGAAGGGTATGACACGGTGTTAGTTTTGAGTTTCAAATGAAGGCTAAGCCTACATGGAAAAAAAGAAGAAGCAATACCCCTGTTTCCGAAGGAAGGAAGTGAGGTGAGCCAACTTTAAATATGGTTCAGAAGTAGCAGTAGTATTATTTTCCTAAAATGATGAGAATGGCATAGGAGGAGCCCAAAACCCTTTACAAAGGATATTTTCATCAATGGGTCAAGCAACAAACCACAATAAGTGGACTGACACCACATCTGAACCAAAACCTTAAGACTCAAGTTGTATGAGTCTTTTTTGCACTTATATGGTACTCACTTGGAACATTTCTAATCGGTGTGAGACTTCATCACTACTCACACTTGATTATTTCCAACAAATGAGTGTGTTGTGTATTGAGGACACAAATATAGCAAAATAAACATACCTCATTACAGTAGATTGAGCATCATCGCGCACAATGTCAGATATGGAAATAGCACCCATGATGCCTTCTCCTTCACGTCCAACATAGACAACAGTTTTTGAATACTTTGAAGATGTTGTATTCGACGAATGATTCATCAAATTTTGTTCCAGATTCATCAAATCAGATGGGCTCATTTTTGTGTGGAAGCGTTCATGAACCCATTCTAAAGATCCAACTGCAACCAAACGCCCATCTATTTCTGCCATGGTTCCAAAACCTGGTTCAACTAACTGCCTTTTTGTTACTGGAAGGACCAGCTCCAACGACTCAGCTTTATTGACAATAGCCTTTGCTATTGGATGAGATGCTGTTTTCTCAACGGCAGCAGCAATCTGAAGAATTTCTGACTGTCTATAATCAATAGAGCCTATGGCAGACACAACTGGTTTACCTCTGGTGAGGGTTCCTGTCTGAAAGTTTAGTGTTAGTCAATCTTCCTTTTTTTAGAGAGAAATGTTAGTCAATCTTCAAAGTTGGAATAGTGAACCGAATTTTTTTAATAATTAATATTGTTTATTAATCCACTCGTATATCTTAAACTACCCACACTTGATGAGATGATCTCTATACGTCATATCCTTTGCCATCAAATACATGGCTTTTTGGTTGAAAATCACTTTTTTTTTCCTTCTATTTTTAATACTCCCAATTCACTTTTGTAAAAAATAATTTTAATAAATTCAATTGCTGAATTACAAGTTATTATCATGTTGATCTTAAACTGCCAAATTTTAGACAAAAATAATTACGTAATCAAATATTTAATTTCTGATATTCAAAAAGTATAAAAAAAAAAAAATCACTCCCTGTTAAACACGACTAGCAAGTGTAGGGTCGAGGCAATCCTTGCTATTCAAAAAGTATATTTTTAATTAATTTTAAGAAAAAAATTATCGAAGATTAATGTGAAATTGGATAACTTGGATATGTACGATGCAAACTTTCAACAAACAGTGTTTTCTTTTAAGAAATTCTCCTACCAAAGTCATTAATTGGTTTAAGATTGATTTTGATTTAAACCGTGTCAATCCTGACCCTGTTACACACTCATACACATGGTAGCATATATATGTTTTTGTACAGCGCATAAGGGGGATAGAGTCATAGAGATAAATAGTCTATGATCATGGAATTTACCTTGTCTAGAGCAATATAATTTATACTTGCCAAGCGTTCCAGCACATCCCCTCCTCTAATAAGAAGTCCTTTCCTTGCCCCTGGTCATTTGCCAAGACGTATTATGCCTATTGAATGATTTAGTTAAAAAAAGATTAAACTATTAAGTGAGATTACATTAATGACTTTATATTTCTCTAATACACTCCTTCACACAAGAGTCTATTGGCCTTGAAAGGTGGAAGATGCATCATTCTCATCCTACTTGTACTAAGAAACTTCACAATATCTAATTATTAGAATGGGGGTGGTGAGGATCAAACATGTGACACTAAAGAACCATTTCAACCAAAAAGCTTAAATTGTTAGGTGAAGCTACATTAATAGCTTTATATTTCTCTAACAAAAACGATAGAAGATACTAAAAACACCAAACCAGGTTGCCAGGCAGTAATATGCTTTACAATAAAATTTCACAAATTCAAGTGTATAAGAGAAGACACCTTATGCCCGATTAAGATACAACTACTACTACTTCTTATTGCAACAGTTGTGATTCTTGTATTGGGTAACATGTTTAGAGAACCACAGGTGACCGTGAGTGCCATATAGTAAAATGGAAGAACTAAAAATAATGAAAGAAATAAATAATAAAGAAAGGGAAAATGGAAAATGAAACAAGAACAAATTACTCGGTGTCAACCAATTTTTCAAGGAAGAGAAAAATTGATAAAATGATTCAATATTGAGCAGTAAGCAGGTTTTTCATTACAAGAGCAATGTATTCACTGTTCAAGTAAATTTAAGCAACATTTATCTAAGTTTGCAAAATGCAGAAAACATAAGTAACGTACCAAGTGATGTGCCAACCAGGATCGCTGTGGGTGTGGCAAGACCCAGAGCACAAGGACAAGAAACAACCTACAAAGGGGCAAAGACAATTGGTAAAAAATAACCTCAAAAGTAAATTGCAAACACCAACATTATTTGTTGTCCTGCGCCAAAATTTCCATTTTTTCAGGAACGATGCAAAACTTGCTTTCATGCACTCATTTCTGTGACCCTACTTTTCTCTTTCTCTTTTGATCACTCTATTGCAATTGAATGATACAGTCAGTTTCAGATAGATAACATTACAAATACTAGCACCATGTCTGCAATTTGACTCATGCGAAGAGTTCAAATTGAAGGCTGTTTGCAATGACTGAAGAATTTTAAGATAAAGGGCATGCAAGGTTTTGTCCAGCATGTCCTAATCAACAACAGAAGCCGATAGCCAGTAAAAAGGGAGCACTCCATGCTCAGGAGATAGGGTAAAAAAAGTCAATAAGGACATGCAAGCAGTTTTAACCGCAAACTTGAACCACATATTATAAGTCCGGTGACCCTGAGTTTAAAATCACTCACCAAAACATCTACAGAGAGTTTTAAGCTCAAAAGCAAAGGATCTCCTTCTGGGCCCGCAATATCATTGAGCAAAACATCAGGAAATATGTGTGATCCAATAAAATACCTGGAGATAAACGCAACAAGTTTGTCAAAGGTAATGGGTAAGATGACCCATACATGAAGTTTTTTACTTGGGAAAATTAAATGTGCATAATAATCATGAATCTTATGACAAGATTCTAAGCAGCACAGGGGCACTACATGGGCACAGGACACAAAATAATTAATAATAGTCAGTATAGGTCATAGTAAATTAATAGTAGTCATGACTCTCAAATAAAGCGCACCATTTAGAATCAGTTGCGCAAATCATAACCATATCAACTAAAAAATTAGTATAGAAATACATGTAGTTACCAGAATGCAAATGTTGCCGCTGACAGAGTCATTACACTGTATACAAATGGCCCCGCTATTGAATCTGCAAGCCTTTGTACAGGTGCTTCACGTGATTGAGCATCCTCAACCTAAAGTTTACAAGATAAAGCTGTAACACTGCAGAAACTTTTTCTACAAATGTTTGATTTCCATAATCGCAAGTCAATGGATTTATCAGCGATTTAATCTAAAAAAAGTCCAGAGAAACATTAAGTATAGGATGCAATAATTCTAAAAATTAAATGAAGCAAAGCAATTACACAATATGTACTTTAGCACTACATTGTCCTGTAAAACTATAACAATTAGGGCTGCATGAAATCACATTCTTAACTGGGAAAAACACTGAAAAACTAGATCATCTCATTGACATTATATAGCATCTCACCACTAAGCCATTACAGAAGATGGTATACTAACCATGCGTACAATCTTGGATATCATTGTGTTGGAGCCAGTTGAAGAAGCTTCAATCCTTAAAGGACCATCCTGGAATAGAAATTTGTTTGGCCAATGAAAAAGATTAATAACTTCACTCCCAATCAAAGGTGGAAAAATCATAATCACATATGTGCTCCACATGTTAATTTAGCGAGACAGCACAAAAATCAATATCAATTTCAAGTCCTACCCAATTTATAGTTCCTGCTGAAACTGGGAGGCCTTCCTCCTTAAACACAGGAAGTGATTCTCCTGTAAGCATGGATTCATCCACAACGCTTCTTCCGGAAATGACCCTTCCCTGCCAAGGAATTTTTAACATTAGCAAGTAATATCATGTGAACCAATAAGTTTCTGATAGGTATCAACAAACACAGCAAGTAATTGAACAAAGCAAGAGGAAATCTGATATTGATATGGAAACTTGTGACAGTATAATTGATCAAAATGGTATAAGATAACAGAAACAGGGGTGGGAATTTAAGGGAAAATTCAGAAAAGAGACAGAAAATTAAGATACGTCTAGAGCAATTGAGAGGCTCTAGTCTCTCCCGGTCCAAATCCAGCCCAAGGTTTCAGATCATTTTCCACCAGTGCCCCTACTCGCTTGCCCCATTCCCTCCAATTCACTAACCGTTTCCAGCTCACCCACTTTTGGAATATTCTATATCAACAAACCATTTGCTGATTCAGCACATGCTATCAGCCTCCTATAACTCTTTCTTGTGTACCCCTTAATGGGATGAACTGTATCAGTTTCACCACATACTCTATCTTAAATCATGAAGGGAAACCTTCCAGTTTAAAGCATAAAGATTTGAATGACTGTTTTCTACCACAATGTTATTGTTATAGGCCACTGATGGCAGATTGGTCACCTTAATTGAGCATTTGGCACAAACTTAATACGCACAATCAATATAGGCACTTCAGATGCCTTTAAACCTTAATTCAGGTACCATGCATATAGCTTTAAAGGTTTCAATTAACATAAACAGGATTTCATTATCAATCAGAAAGGCTTACATCTATAGGAATAGTTTCTCCAGGCAACACCAACACTGAGTCACCAACTCGAATATCATCAGTTGGGACTTCAACACAAATTGCATCAGAGCAAAGCACACTGTCAGTAGATGGTGAACCTTCTGACGAAGTAATCACAAGTCTTGACTGCGTAGATATCAGTGACTGGCAAAACATCCACCAAAGTGAAATCGTGTAAGACTAATTATACCTATAATAAAATATGACTGTACACATAAAATAACACATTTTACAGCAAAACTATAATTTGATGCTTAATGCTCATATAAGCCACTTTTTCTTATAACCAATGTTCCAGTTTTTGGATTATTCATTTTTCTAGAAACAATAATTGACCACAAAATGGAAGAAAGTGAAAGTTAAAATAAGATTTGACTTCTAAATAGAAAAATATTATTGTCTTATCTATGAGGTAACCTGCAAAGGCAATTTAATCATCAAAAGGAACATATTCTTAGATCAAAAGTCTATTTGACAATGTTGGAGCCGTTAGGTTTCCGAAGTCTTAAGTGTCACCAACTCTGTTTATGACATATTATCAAACAGAGCCCTAAAAAATGTGTAACAATTTGATCTTGTAAACACAAAATTAATTCCATATAGCAAATAACAAGGTATAGAAATCCATGTAGAAAATAAAATTTAAAGAACATAGTCTGACAGAGATCACAAATAAAAGAAAAGTTTTACATTTAGGAAAAGAGATCAATCGTGATTTTTCAATAAACAATAAATTTTCAATCGAAATAAGGATGCAGAGAAGATGAAAGAACCAAAGATTTAAAAAAAAAATGGTCCAAAAAGGACTACGAACACAAAAGAGATGAATCACGTTGCAACTTACAAGAAGTTCATTCATATCACTAGATGCCTGAATCCTCGCCTTTTCCTCCAGAGAACGTCCAAGAAGCACGAAACCAAGAAGCATGACCTGCATGCTAAAAGACACAATCCTTACATGAGGAGCTTATTACCAACATGAATGTAAGAAGTGCCAGTAAGACAACAAATAGCATATTTTGTGAAAGCAAGAGGTTATTAAATCTAAACAAACAAAATCCAAAGTCAAGATGAGTCGTAGCTTGTTCTTTCTTGGCTTAAGGTAGCAAATTCTCCAATGACAAATATTAGGATATTGGAAAGTAAAGAAAGTCACCGGTTCATCAAAGAATGATGCATCCCATGCCAGCCCAGGGTTAAGTAGTGAGATCTACAGAATAGATGAAGCTCGAATCAACACCACATAAACAAAAAATTAGACGTCTTGTAGCTTAATGCAGCACTAAAATCCCAGAGAGAATCTCACCGAACTGATGATGAAAGCAGCTATGGAACCAAATCCCACAAGAGAGTTCATATTTGGCGATCCCTTCTTAAATGCGTTCAGCCCATCAAAGAGTAACTCTGCGACATTTTGGTGAGTCTAGCATGGTAAGAAAATTGTAACACTACAATTGACTCCAATTATTTAGGACCGTATCCTCGAACTAACAAGACTACAAACATGAAACAAAATATTCATCGAATTTATAAATGTATTAATAATTAAAAGAGTTTGGTTAACTTGTGCCCTTTAAAAAATAAAAAATACAAAACTTTCAATTTTTCAGAATGGCGGGTCAGGTGCCAGAATTGAACTTATAACCACAAAAGAGCCTCTCGATCTAGACACATTAGTCAAAAATAGAAACTTTTAACAAATATATATATATATATATATATATATGGCAAAATGATTTGTAATGTGACTGCATATAAACATTGGTGCGGTTATCTAAAAACTACGTCGTTTTGGATGAGAAAAAGGAAGTTCATTAATTATAGAAAAAGAAAACATTATATTTATTTCCATCTTTATATATTTATGATTCTCCATGTTTAATGCTTTATATTTATTTCTACTTTTGTATGGTTATGATTTTTTAAATTTAATGCTTTCAGACTATAAAACGACGTAGTTTTGTATGACTGCACCAATCCTTAGGTGCAGTCACTGTACATCCGCTAAACCCCATATATATATATATATATATATATATATATATATATAGGTAGGATCATTTGATATCATTTGATACTGGTGTCAGATTTAAAGATTGACACCTCCTCTGAGAGCTGTTAGATAAAAAATGATCAACGACTCTGATTTGTAAGCATGTGACACCGTTGATCTTTTTTGATCTAACGGCTCTCAGAGGAGGTGTCAAACTTCAAATTTGACACCGGTGTCAAAGGATTCTACCTCACATATATAATAGAGGAAAGTTATATTTACAACTTATTTTCGTTTACATCTTACAACCATATTTTAACCGTTGATTTTCGCCAATCAACAGTTATCATTTATTGCGAATTAATAATTAATTGATGAGTTTGATTGACAAAAATAATAACCGTTGATTGACAGAAATCAACAGTTAAGATATTGTTGTAAGAGGTTGTAAATAAAGATAAGTTGTAAGTATAATCTTGCTCTATTTCATGTCTTGAAAGTATTAAAATTAGAGGAAGGTTATACTTACAACTTTTTTTTTTACAACCTCTTACAACCATATTTTAATACTGTTGATTTCCTCCAATCAACAGTTATCATTTATTGTGAATTAATAATTAATTAATGAATTTAATTTGCGAAAATCATAACCGTTGATTGACGGAAATCAACGGTGTTAAGATATGGTGGTAAGAAGTTGTAAAAAAAAAGTTGTAAGTATAACCTTTCTCCTAAAATTATCTAATAATCTTTTTAAAATTAATTAAAACAATTTAAAGAAGAGTCATAAATGCTATTTTCCTTTCTTTAACATCTACACTAAGGAAATACATTAACAAAACCTAATTAAAAAAAGAAATATGAGGAGGCCTTTTATACTTCAAAAGATGTTGTTGCTACATATCAACAAGGGAAGAGAGAGACAAACTAACCTCGTCCCGGTCCCAATAGAGCGCCCAAAGATAACCCACCTTTCACGTATGAATTATGAAGTATTTTCCAAAGCGGTCCTACAGATAGAAAAGGCAAGTTAGGTTTGAGTACTTTAATTTGGTTACAAATTGAGCTTATCACTTGGTTTATTTGCGTTGAAGCAAAATTGCAGCTGAATAGCGAATAACGAATATCATCGCATATTTGACTAGAGCATTACCATGACCAATGTGAATCCCCAAAGAGTGAAAAATATGCGAAGCATGAGATCCACAGCACAATGCCACCAAAGTCCAAGCGAAAGCGACGCGGTTTCGACTCTTGGCGACTAGTTCCTCCTTCTTCTTCACCAACTCCTTCCACTTCCTCACATTTTCTGCCACTCCCAAACCCGACGCCCTCCTCTTTGTCGGAAACCCGCAATCGCTCAATCTCCGAGCAAGGCTTTCCGCGACGCTCGCCGGTTCCTCCTCGTTCCGTCTCAACTTAACGGCGGCTGTCTCGGTCAACATGTTGACCACGGCCGAGTCGACTCGGTCGTCAGCGGACAAGATGTGTTTGACTCGGGAGACGCACGCGCCGCACATCATTCCGGTGACATCGAGTAGAACCGGCGAGTCTTTATTCTGTTCCCGGACTTGAAGAAGATCTGATTCCGGTGAGCTAATCTCAGTTCCAAAGCAGTTTGAAACGACGAAATTTGGCCAAAACTTTTCCCGGCGGTGGCGGTTGCGGTTGCGACGTCGTTTTGGCGGAAGCAGAGAAACGAAGTGGACATCGTGATTGGCTGTGGAAACGAAGCAGAGCTTCGGTTGCGGAGAGAGAGAAAGCCTTAGCAGATGAGTTGCCATCATCGGAAAGAAGAGAAGGAGTTGTGAACCACGAAATTTTCATGTTACCCTCTAATTTCTCATAAGGCAGAGGCGTTCGTTGAATATTTCAAAGACTTCCAATCAAAACGAGACACGTGTCTCGTGTAAGATTGCGTCTGGAGGCTAATAAATTTTACAATGTATTATTCTCTTTATTTTAAAATAGGGAAAATTTCATTTTCACGTGATTTTGTATTTTATTATTTAATATCTTGTGATTTTAAACTTATAACTTAGATTTATTGTGCTGAAGTAATTTATCATTTAATCCTCTATGGTTTTAAATTTTCACTTAGACTCTTGTGGTTACAAAAATTTCCACTTAAACTCCCTTGTGGTTTAATAAATATACATTTTAAAAAAATATTTAAAATAATTTTTCTCTTTTTTATTTTATATCCTCATGTAATGCATTTATGGTTTGAAAAATATTTTAAGTTATTTATTTTGAAATTAATTTATAAATTATCTTAAAAAATATTATTTTAAAAATATATTTGAAATTAAAAAGATTATTTAAGATGAAATTAAAAAATATTATTTAAGATAAATTAAATATGTATTATCAAAATAAGATATTTAATTTCTTTAGATAATTTAATAATGATACCTGGTAAAAAATAGATAAAATAAAAATATTTGATTTGAATTTATTTTCTTGATAAAAATAAGTAAAATTTTTTAAAAATTATTTAAAAAAATATATATTTTTGTAACAAGGAGTCTAAGTGAGAATTTGAAACCACGAGAGGTTAAATGATAAATTATTTAAGCACAATGAATCTAAGTGATAAGTTAAAACCACGGGAGGTCAATTATAAATCACAAAACCAAAGGGATGAAAATGAAGTTTTCCCTTTAAAACACTAATTTAATTTATTTATTTTTTCATTTAGTTTCATTTTTTTTTTTGGATAAATGAGTGTGTAAATGGGCCGTGGGGCTTATCAAGGACTCAAGACTTTGTTTGCTTTAAGCTTAGCTTGACCTAACATGTCCAGCTTAAGCTTTAAAAAAAAATTGTTTAACAAACAGGCTCAAGCCTAATTTAATGTGGCTTGCCTTGAAAGCTTATGAACTGACTTGATATATTATTATAATAATAATAACTAGTATTTATCTTTTTAAATGACATAAAATTGTGTCATTTTAATCAAAATTATAGTGTTTTATACCGAGAGAAAGAGATGCACAATAGAAATCAAGATGGGAGAAAGTGAGAGATTTCTTTAATTTAAATATTAAATAAAAAACACTCATTTTAACTAAAATGACCATTCTTTAAAAAGACAAATATTTTTTCCATAAATAATATATTTTTATGTCACTGAATCATTAACCATAATTTTTTATTACTATTGTCTACTAGGATCTCTCACGATCACATTTGCACAAACAAACTCTTTACCTATTGGTCACTCATTTCCTCCTTCTGTCACTTACATAATTTGATGCATTTATAGTTTTAACATTTAGACGTATGTGAGTTTTAAAAAATATATTTTAGAAATATAAATGAGTCAAGTCAAGACTAAAATTCAACTTATACCAGGTTAATGGGCCAAACCAAGTTCAAAATATTTTTTATAGGTGTGACTCAACCCAGCTCATTTACACCCCTAGTCTCGTATAACAGAAAATTCATTATCATATGCTATAGATACATAACCCGTGGGCCCCACCAATTATTTAGAAATAAATAAATAAATATGACACATCTTTTTATGGATCAGTAGGAAATTATATTTCTCGGCCGTAGAAAGACATGGCCCTATTTTACTTTATTTTCAGTTTAGTACCGAAACTAATGAATCATTGAGCATAATTTAATAAGATAATTAATAAGTTTCTTTTATGTGGTTCAATTTAATGTTATTAAAACCGGTCGGTCATTAACCTGGTCGAGATATTGGGTCACTGATTCAATCAGTGAGTTATTGGTTAAACCACATGACCCGGTAATTATATGCAATTATATAATTTATATTAAAAAATTACAAACATACTCAAATATCTAAAAAAATGATAAATATTTTAATATGCAAAATAATAAATCACACATTATTATCTAATAAAGGATCAAACAAAAATATAATGATCGTGATACGGGACTTCAGGTTCAGTAAACGACATTTCTAACTATAAATCAAATCAAAATTTCCTGAATAATGCATAATTGAGATAATGTTACTGTGTTAAGTACATAACTTATGTAAGTCAATAAGCAAAAAATATCCAAATATGTCTATTTTGAATTTTTTTTGAATTTTTTTTTAGGACTGGGCCGGGGCATTAATTTTCACGAAAATCGACCGAGTCACATCGGTTCTGATGCTTGGCCGGTCCATTGCTTCACTCAGATCGATTTACCGATTCCTAGGTAGACGGCTGGTCCAATTTTTTTAACATTGGTTCAATCAATGCTAATATAGTCATTAAATGATCAAAGTAAAAACAATAAATGAAAAAAAAAGTATTCTTTAGCGTAGTGGGATGTCTGTCTTGATTCTGGTCGGATATCAATCTCTAACTGCACCGAAACTTTTATTAATAAAAAAAATCTGTTTAATTTAATAGAATTCTTCTCTTATAAAATAATTATAATTTGAACTATGAGAAGTACAATTCATAAGCATGCTATTAAATTCAAGTAAATAAATTTTGATACTTAGAAGTCATAAGAATAGTCTGCAAATTTATTAAATTCAAAATGACAACAAGTAATAAATCATTAATTGAAAGAGATAATGTTCAAGAGACATAGTTCTTAGCTCGGGGTGTAAATGAGTCAAGTCGAACCAAGCTTTAGGCTAAATGGGCCAGACATGTATATATTATTTCAAGTTTGACTTGACTCGTTAGCCTTACACAAATCAAATTATAAAGTTGGTCTCACTTGTTTTAAAAAAAATGCAAGACTTGGCTTGCATTGTCAAGTCTATCAAGCCTTAAAAATGGTATATTGCACTTCGTAAAATATATGCTATGATTATGTTGTTTAATTTGATGGAATATATTTCTTTTCTATACACATAATAACTCAAAAAATTAACAATTTAACTAATTTGCTAGAAATCAAGAAACAAAAAATGGCAAGGAAGTAGAATGTTCAATCACATTAATACGTGTATATTCACTCACTCACGAATTAAAAAATTCCACTCAATAAAAATGAGAATTGTGATGATGACAAAAGCCAAAAGTTAAACACAATAAATTGTTCAACAACATTATCAAAACTTTATTAAGAGATTTAGATTTTGTTGTTTTTTGGTTTCATCCACACCACCAAAAGGATTAGAATTGCAATTCGCATGTCCTGATTGACTAAGGCACTTTCATACGAGCAAATTGATAGCATGTGATGTTGACTCGTCCTGCATGGGAAAGTCTTGAGAGTTGATGGTGATAACAGATGATTTGGAAGGAATGAGAAGTTGAGAAAGATGTAGAAGAGTAACAATTTTTGGTGAAGGAAGGAAGGGAAAATAGCAGTGATAACTGTAACATCCTCTAAAGATCCCAATATAGAGAATATCACATTGTTTTCATCCAATATATTTAATAATAAATAAATAAGTAAAAATATCTAAGAAAATAAATTTAAAAAGATTATCTGGAATTAGAAATACTAACATACTTCATTATTTATACATGGATGTAAGTTAGTACATATGAGGATTATGAGCTAACTCATTTCTCCACTTCCATAAGAACCAACAAGTTATCAGAAAAACTATGTGCCAAGGAACCTGCAAAATAACAAAATTATTATTTAAAAAATTAAATAATAGCCAGTTGTCAACTTCTTCTTGGAAGAAACTGTCCTGAATATTCAATGGGACAAGTTTTTTCCAAATATCTCTGGCTTTTGGACAATCCCTCATAGCATGAATAAGGGTTTCAATATCTGATCCACAAACTGGACAAATTGAACTCACTCCTCCCCAAGCAGCACATCTATGCCAAGTTAGAAGTCTTTTGTGGAAAAATTTCCAGCCCAAAAACTTTACTCTTTGGGGACCACTCCAATTCCAAACTTTTTTCCAAGGGAATGCATTAGCATTAGAATCCATTCGAGGGGTAGACAACAGCAAATACACTCCTTTTACTGAGATATTAGCAAACCCAGGGATATGCCAATGTAACTGGTCCTGGCCATCCGAGGAATCAGGGAGAACAGTGGCGGACCCAGGAATTCTTTCTGTAGGGGGCTAAAAATTAAACATTTATTTCTCTCTTCAAACATAATATATGGGAGGCCAAAATACGAAAAATTAAATATTTGTACCTGTTTGGATCTTCTATTTTTTAAGTTAGAAGCTACTAAGCTAGGCTAAATAGGTTTTGAAAAAATTCTTATAATGAAAAGCTTTTTTTTTAAGCTCTTATATGTTTTTCTTGAATTGTGTGTTTTTTTTAAATGAAGAGTTATAAAGATAAATAGAGATATAATTTTCCTTAAATATGTGCTTTTAAGTAACTTTTAAACTAGAAATTTTATGTAATTATCAAGCAGCTTTTAACTTTTTTTTAGCTTTAGCTTATTTCGTTAACTTTACTGGAGGGAGAAAAAATGCAATCAAAGTTAGAGGGATTTCATTTGATATAGGACTTGAGAATATAAAGAGGCTCTATAAACTCTGCGGTGGAAGAAAACTATTTCACATTAATGAAGAGGAAAAATGGAGGTTTCTTGCATTATACTTATGTTAAAAAAAATTCTTCAAATTTTTGGGGGGCGGCCGCCAACCCTAGCACCCCCTGGGTCCGCCCCTGAGGGGGAAGACAACTCAAAAGCACATCCAAATACTCCTTTGGAAGAATTGTCTTTAAAAGATTAACATTCCAAGAACCAGATGGAGAAATATAATCAATAATGAATTTTCCCCTCTCACTATCAGATATACTACCATTGATTTCATCAACCTCAATAAGAGGTTTTCCAAATGGACACATCCTTCCAGAAATGAATCTTAGTACCATCACCTATTTCCCACCTTAAATGTTTTTCCATCATTTTCCAAACTCTGCACAAATTAATCCACAAATGAGAATCACCCGATTTACTAGTAAAAAAATATTGCCTTCTTTTTCCACTTTTATTATTTATAATACATTCTAAATATTTTACATCAGTTCCACACATATATTACATTCCTAACTACATAAGGTTACAACATTTATTCAATATATACTTCTCATTCTATTCTAGCCTATAGGTGTAAGTTTTTACAGTGCCTGCATGGGATATGGCTACAACTCCTTGGTTCCCAACTATTATGTAGAATTCCCAATGGTCGTCGTAAAAATAAATATTCACAGTCCATCATTCTCTAGAAAAAGATAAGTTAGACATGATGGTTTTCTGGAAAAGTTAGCATAAAATAAACAAATATGAGATAATTCTCGGTAATATTGAGATTTTTAAACTATAACCATTTTCAGCCGTAATAACGAAAAATATCCATCTCTCAAGTATATTTCATAAACTGAAATAATATCATAAATAATAATATTCTATTGTGTAATATTTAACTGAAGCTAATTTAATTCCCAATTTTGTGGGTCTTCTGCATGTGAAAGATTATGTTATGGCGGAGCTCAAACCATGATAAGGCGTCCCTTACACTAAAACCTTCTGAACCCAAACTTTTGTGGGTCACTTCACAGCAACATCATTCAGTTAAAATTTACACGTTCTCTTAATATTCATTTGGTACCAAATAATTTATTATATCTTACTGCTAAAGAAAATTTAAAATTTGATAAAAATCACAAAAACATGACAGGTAGAACCAAATTAAAAGAAAGATAAAGGTAAAGCTATAGATGAGAATAATATTAAATGAGAGAAGAAATTAAGGAAATATTTTGGCAGAATAGCAACATCACAACTCTCTAAAAATCAATTTTAAAAAAATATAACTGAAAAGAAGAAAATAGAGAGGAGATTTTATTCTTTCAATATTACCTTTCCTCTATTATATCTTCGTATTCTTTCTCTTTCGTATTCTCTCTTCCTCTATGTAACTTTTCTTCTAAACTTTACTTTACTAACAGAGTGAAATGAGATGGTACCTATATATATATACATATATATATATATATGAGGTAGGATCCATTGACACTAGTGTTAAATTTGAAATTTGACACCTCATCTGAGAGCCGTTAGATAAAAAAAAGATCAATGGTGTCACATGCTTACAAATCAGAGTCATTGATCTTTTTTGATCTAATAACTCTTAGATAAGATGTCAAATTTAAAATTTGACACTGATATCAAAGGATCCTACCTCTATATATATATATATATATATATATATATATATATATATATATGTTGGATGCTGATTCACTCCATTTTTTTTTTATATCACTATACTTACATCAGTTAAATTACATCACCCAAATTTAAAAGCGCGGTAATTGTGGCTTGGAGGGGGTGTTCCACGTGGCCCCCTCCTTGCCATATACTTTTTTTTATATATTATTTCAAGGGAAAAGTGTCTATACATTTAAATTACACAACTTACATTCTTTCACTCTCACAAAGAGGTGGGACCCACAACTTTATTTTTTTTGTCAACTCTCTCTCCTCCTTTATCTATCTCTTTCTCTCTCTTAAAATGACACAACTTTACATCCTTCAAAATTATACACACTTTTCCCTTATTTCAATTGTTATATGATCACTACTTATATAGTGTTTCAATTGTTATATATTATATAACGATCATATTAACATAACATATATGTTATATGTTAGTAACACTATTATTGCAGTTAACACTAATACTTACATACAATTTTAAGTTATATAATTGTAAAGTTCATTAGAGTTTTTTTTTTAAGTGTAAGTACAACATATATACGCACATGCACATATTATAATTAAATTAGCTTTAGAATAAGTAGTCGTGTATGTTACAATATTATTATATGACTATCTTATACAGAATAATTAAGAATTTTATATATCATATAGCTATTTTTTTAATATACATCATTAAAATTATATGATGAATAAAATCTATATACAATCATTTTAACTAGTTTTAAACACTTTTATTTTTTAAAATACATAAGATATTGTATACATATAAGTATTATAAATCAAGAATAATATACACTATAAAGTTATTTTAATTTAGTTTTAAATTGTTTGTGACCTAATAAAAATATTTGTTCTAAGTAGCTAATAGCTTGTCCAATTAAAAACTAATTTATTATTTTTATTATTATTATATTTTATTTTTATTCGATTATTACAATAACAGAGAAATTTAAGATTAAGAAAATATGTGTTTGTCAAGCGAGAATTAAAAAATTATAATATATTATTTTAGTAAAAAATAGCAAGATATTATTTTATTGAAAAATAATAATATCTTAATTTATTAAAAATAATAAGATATCACTGTTTAAAAAAATATTTTTATTAAAAAGTACGAGCCAGCTTGAAAGCTTAGAAGCCAAGTTTGCTAAAATCAACTTGTGGCTTAATTTCTAAACAAGTCTTTTAATGAGTTAAGTCTATACTATTTTTAAAACGGGCCAAGGTAGGGCAAGCCAAACTCTAGTCCCTTAACAAGCCACCTGGTCTATTTACACTCGTATTAGCAACAATTAAATTAGGTGGTTGGATTCAATTCTTAAAGTATTTGTTCACTTCATTTAATGATTTTCAAGCTAAAGGATCAAAACCAAAAAATAAAATAAAATGATTGTGAATAGAAAATAAAAGTATTTTTTTGCCTTTAAAATATTAATCATTTAATACCATTACACAAAAATTAAGAAAACTATTACTGCCCATGTGTTCTCTTGGTTAAGGGTGACAATTTTCAATATGACATGCTAACATGATATGAAAAATTTGTGTTTGGGTCGACCTGTTTTCAAATTTATGTTGTATTTGTGTAGGCAAAAATTGACTCGAAAAAATTCGTGTCGTATCACATGTCAATCCGCGATCTCGAAATTGACTCACATGAATCTTTTTATAAGTTATTCGTATCGTGTCAACCTTCAAAATAAGAAGGTTGTGTTTGCGTCAAAAGTTTTAACTCGATTTCAAATTCATATATTAGTGAGTCGTGTTTGTGTCGAAAATTTCAACTTGATTTGAAATTCATATCGTATTCGTGTTGAGTGTCGAAAGTCTCGAGGAATCTTTATAATAATTATCTTAATTACATTAAAAGATACTAAATATTAAATAGTTATACATTTTCATTTAGTATTTATTATTTTAACTAATATATATGTAAAAAGTTATAAAACTATTAAAATAATATATTATTACTCTTCTGGGAAGAAAGAATTATTATATATCTTCCTAACGAATCTTCCTAATAATATTTTTAATTACTTATTGAGGGAAATATTAAATATATTTTAGACTGTGAAAAATTCTTTTAATTTTTTATTTAATATTTACTATTTGAAGAAATTAGAAACTTTAAAAAATAGTCAAGATATAATTACATTACTTTTTAAAAAAACGCAAGGATAAATTATTCTAAAACAGTAATTATTTGCAAACGTTGTGGTTGTGCAAGAAGGAAGATATTTGTTTGGATTATGTTTTCCCATGACCCATGCGTTAGCGTTATCCTCTTTGGGCTCCATAGAATATATAGAGAGATAGATAAAGATAGATAGATGCATTGGTGAGTTTCGTTTCCTCAACTCAAATGGCTGTGAATGATGGAAATGACTCATCCACTGAGGAGATAGAGACTAAGAAGGTGCCCTATTGTTGGGGAAATGCTCAAACACCATTTGCACTTCCCTTCCTTAGATTCAGAGTCCCCAACTCCAACTTCACCACTTTCGTTTCTCCACCTGAACTACGCAGATCCATCACCAATGCTGCTGATCATTTCTTCAGTTTTTTACACTCCCTCGCCTCTCAAAACCCCATCCTCAACAAAGTACTCTCTTTGTCCTCTGAATTTCACAGCTTATGCGTTCAGGTTATTCAAAATTTTCACTTTTTTTTTCGTCTTCTAAATTTTAATTTTTGTGAAAAATGAATGAGAAGGGTTATTAATTATTATGTAGTGGTATTGATCTCTTGCACTTCAGATTCGGTGCAGTAACTACAGGAACATGAGGTCGTTGTGTAATCACAATTTTGCAGCAGTTTTACCAGGGGATTCGGTGGCAGGGCTAGTGGTGGCTAATGGAGTCTCGAGTTTCTTGAGCATTTACAACACCTTGCTCATTGTCAGGCTTGTCTTGACCTGGTTTCCCAATTCTCCTCCTGCCATCGTTAGTCCCCTCAGGTGACCCTTTTCATTTTTATGTTGCAAAATTACATAATTTTTTTACATATAGGTTTTGATGTGATTCAAGGATTACCTTTTCTGTTAGCACATGTTAGAGAATATAATGTAAAAACCATTGCCTTTACTTGCGGGATGACCGCATATCATGGTATCATAGCACCATACCACCTCCACTAGAATTAAGTCACCACAATAGAACAAAAATATAGGCTCGAGGAATATCTAAGCTTCAAGTTCAAAAAGCTCTTATTTGAGTAGATGCGTCAGAGAGATATAATATATAAATTCATTAAAGGGCCATCACATACCAGCTTAATTTTTTGGGTTGAATTGGTTTTTAGTGCGCAAGTGCCAATTACGAAATAGACATATGTATTGATTGATAAACCTAAATGTTTGATTCTATTGACTATAAACTTTCCATTTCATAAACTTATGGGAAAGGGGAGAGGCCGGGGTTGTTAGACATTTTACACATTATAGAACCAAAGCATGTAGCTACATATGTAATGTAGAAAACACAGTTTTAATTGGTTCAAGAATGATCAAGTGTTTAACAAAATGATTATTGTTTCATTCAGCACAATTTGTGACCCATATCTGAACATATTCCGTGGGCTTATTCCTCCTCTGGGTGGAACATTGGATCTATCTCCCATCTTAGCATTTCTGGTCCTAAATGCATTCACTAGCACTGCTGCTGCACTCCCTGCGGAGCTTCCAGTCACAGAACAATCCGAACAAGGTCTTGCAGCACCATTACAATCTACTCATGTTACTACTTCACAGAAGAAATGGATGACGCGGCTTCAAGGGAAAAGGTCAAAGAACTCCGGTTCTGCCATTTAGAATATAATTATGTTCATTTGTGCCTTTGGCTCTGTTTATTAATTTAGATAGGTTTCTGTTGTTCCTTCCCAGTTATGATAGTTCTCTAGGCAACACAATTTTCGAGTTTGTGATTGCTGATATTTGAACAGCTATGGGGTATGCTGTGAAAACAGTCACAGTTTATTTTATTTTTTTATTTTTTCCATTACAATACAGAAATCCCATCATTTTCTTTTAATCAAAAAGGTACATAAGCTGGAGCAATAATCAGCTCGAGCGTAGCATAGCATTTTCCAAGAGTTATTTACTTCTGGCCATCGCTCCATGGCTGGCAGTGGCCGAACCGCACTGGTATATAGACCATCAATTAATTAAATTAGTAAATCATACTGCATTGTTCATGTAAATTTTGTTCGTGAGTATATATCCAAACGTTTAAAGAGTCTTGACTGCATATGACAACTTTTGCATGCTTTTAATTAAAAAACAATGACAAGAATGAAAGGAAAATGTTTAATTATAACTGTGCTGCTCCTAGAGTGTTTGTATAAACTTTGAACTTTGAAGGGCATGGTCCCAATTAAATACATATTGTCTCTACTTTTATCATGCAGTGTCGTCATAGAACTTTTTACAGTATTTAGCAAATGTATGGCATAGGAGTATTGGACTTAAAAAGAAAATATACACTTTACAAAAGAAAAAGAAAAAGAAAAAGAAAATATTTAACCCACATTAATCAGGGTCCTTGCTGAAACATGCTTAATGTTATGGGTTCGATCTCTATTTTATTAGGTTTTTCTTTTTTCCTTTTGCAAGCCTATAAAGGCCTCATGTAAATTGCTAAACTCTTGGATTAGTTAGCCTCTAAATCCATTTAGCAACTTTAATCACACAAGAAATGGAGCACTGGAAATGTACTGTGTCCTTAAGTATCTTTTTATATTTGGGTGTGATACTTGGATAAATTTATTTGAGAAGGACTTTGTGATCACATAAAGCGGCTGTTTGACACCACCCAAGTTAAGTATGAGAATAAACTTTCTCATGTTTTATTTAAGGGCTACCAACTTCTAATGTTGTATGAAAAGTTGAAACTTTCCTATTGAGAAGGAAAAAAGTGAGGTCCACTTTGAAAATAAAAGTAAAAAATAGAAAAAATAGCTGACAAAAAATATCGAAATAAGAGTGAGAGGAGAAAAAATTTCTCATGTAACAAACCTTTCTCCCTTTATTTAATATGGCTAAGTTATTTGAGATGATCATAACTGTTTATAGATATAATAAATTATGAACTGTTTAAGACGGCGAGAGAGAAAAAAAATCACCATTTATCTGTTTACAGACAACTAAATTATGAACTTCGTTTCTGTTTCTGTTTGTCATAAAAGTAATGCTCTTCCTCTAAGGTCATTCCAGTTTTTAATTGCGAGCACTTTCAGCTATTTTGATTACATGAATAATTGTAACTTACAATTACAAGAAAGAATATATTTGCAATTTCGTCATTTCTTACAAAATTTTATAGCTCTATCCTTACCTCCAAGATATCACTTTCAAAAGTATCTTAGAATTTATATTAAATTCATATGTAAATTTATGTAGAATCACGTCAATATTTTTCTCGTCAGATTCACGTACTATTCAACCCTTTTTTCTTTATTTCAAGCTAAATATGTGTTTGCTCTTAGAATTATTTCATCCCAAAATGAATAGGTTCGAATATGTGATGTTTTATTATAGACATTCGAGAGGATTCTGTATTTCTTTATAAATTAATCTTGCGTAGACATCCACAGCAGAAACGGCATCAGATTCTATATGAAATTTGAGCAGCTAAGGAATATTGTGCTTTGTTAATGGAGAATCTTATTCATATCCATACAATGTAACAAAGCTTTGTCAGTAATGTACGATCTCTAGTCCTCTCCTGCATCTTATCTTCATCATCTTTTTATATAAAAAAAATAGATTGTTCTGGTATTTCCTATCAGTACCCAATACAATCAACATTAAAATAGCATATGATAGTATTCATGATAACTATATGAGAGAACCTCGTAATATTGTGAATGGAAGTTGGAGGTAGCAGAAGGAGAAGCAGATTTTCATCATATGAGAGAGTAGCTGTCATAGGGTTGGTGGCTCTGGCTGTGGCTTCTCCTCTCTATATAGACCGCAAATCAGAGTGTGACTTGGAAGATGATGAGAACTTCATAAACGTTGCTGTTTCGTTGCCTTTACTACTCTTTCTATTGATTTCTTGCATAGTTTTATCAACTTTCTTGGACCAGAGCTTCACCAGGTTTGACCGTTACTGGATTCATAGAGTTATTGGTTCTTCAGGCGGTATTGTTGTGATTCTTACTGTTCTTTTCCTTGTTTTGAAGTGTAAATCGTCTCTGTAATGACCTCTGGTGCTTAAGCTATATTTTAAGATACTGATAAGTATGTAAGAACACAATAGTCATCTTATGAGTTAATTTGTTGAATGAAAAGATTATAACTATTTAGTATTTTTCAATTGAGATATAATTAGGAAGTATCCGATGGGGTAAACAAAAGCATCATATAATCTTGGGTTATATTTATCTCATTTTACATGAGATAAACAATTTTCTTACACATACAAAAAGAGTGGGTCCCACCACTCTTTTTTTCCCTCTCCTCTTACTATGAGTCTCACTTGTAATTTTATTTCTATAACATGAGATAATCACTTTCCTACAACATAAGAAAAATATTTCCAACAATGAATTTAGAAAACAATTGGCCTGAATCTGTTGATAAATAACATAATCAAAATGAAGGGGAAAAAAGAATAGCTGAGGCCAAGCCAGTCATATACAACAAAGACGATTGAAGGCCCCTAAATCAAGTGGGAATCCATACAATTTAAAACTCAATTTATGATCATAATGGAAAAGCAAACCCCATTGCAATCAGAACTGAAGTTGCAAGTAGCCATATCCCAGTGAGTGGTGACCAATCATGAGCACCACTACACTCATCATTAGCTCCGCTAAAGCAACCAGGTCTTGATATTTTAGCCACACCATCCTCAAAAGCAAAGGTGCTATTAGGTTTGCCATTGCTAAACAACACACACCAGAAATAAGGAGACCCCCCATCAGTACCTGTGACAGCAGCACCCACCTGAGTATGATTCTTACTGTGCAGTATGTCTAAACTCTTCTGGTTTCTTATCAGGATTTCGGAAAATGCCTCAGGTGCATGGACATACTTAGACTGGCACCCCAGAAAACGACCAGTTGTAAGAGCAAGAGTTGATGTCTTAACACCACAGGTTGGTGCAAAAACTTCAGCAAATTGAGATTCAGGAGGCTTCTTGGCATCAGGTCCTCCAACGGCATTACAATCTCCCTGGTATGCCTTAATGTATTGTAGAGCAATACAGGCAAGTCCCGGGTTATCAAATAAAGTTGATAACTTGTCAGCAGTTCTGTTTTCATTAATCACAGCTACCAACTTGTCCGCAGGGTTATTAGTAACTTCTGCAAAGTTTTGTTCATCATGTCACAAATGGGAATTTAGAGAATTAGAAAGTGAGGGAAAATACTAGCAATGCAATACAGATTTAAAGAAATGGAATCATATCATAGGGAAATAAATACAACTATGAAGTAAGGATTCAGAACCATAGTTGTGTTGGTACTTGGGAACTTTCATTAAGCCATAAGGAGGTTTTATATTGTTAGGGAAGTAGTCATATATATAAAATCAATGAAAATGTCAAAATATATAACCTGAAGCTAAGGATAAAAAGCAAGGCAAAGCATGAAGGGACAAACACTAAGTTTTAGCAACTGTGTTTGACACAGTCACGAACAAAAACAAGTAGTGAAATATAAAGTGTACAATCTCAAACGCATACTATATGACAAATCCAAATAAGAAAAGAACTCGATTAACAAAATATAAACTGCTCCGTAGATTGTCTACAGAAGAATCTATCAACATGTTATATCCAAGTAAATATAATAAAGGCTTCTAGTAATTGCTACCCTGCTGGGACCAATATCAGTCAGGAAATAATTTCTTACAGCAGTAGCTAAGGTTTTCTTTTTCTTTCTTCCACCACTTCATCTTTCCCAACTCTTTTTGATATTTTCTTGTATACAGACCAAACTATGGCTAAAGCAACCAATTCATCTCTGATAAATATTGATTTATAGAGGCCATTATCAATGCTAGAGATTCTTTTGCCCACAACTTCCTAAATCTCACTGCTGTCTGCGTTAATATAAAAGAGGTAAGCATTTAAGGATTCCATAAACAAAATCCTAATGACACTTCCACAGGCATCACTCTTCAAAAGCATTATACTGAAAGTCCAAGATCCAATATGGACAGTTTTCTCTAGCATCAATTTCTATGTCAGCAAAGAACGTTAGAAAATGAAACAACTTCCCCTAACAGACCAAACGTACACAAGAGTTTTAAGCAATAAAGATATAGTCATAGAACAGTTAACAGCTGCAGCAGTGTCAAACTCTGGCATTGTAGACACTCGTTTCATTAAAAATGGCAAAGATGCAATCAAGAATGAGGAGCTACATTGTGACGACCAGAAAGACTAACATTAAAAAAATTTAAATATTTAAGTGATTGTAACTCAGATCAAACATACCCAGGTTCCTAATCTGAAACCCAAACCACTAGATAAAAAAGAAAAAAAAAAAAAAAAAAAAGGACTTGCTTTAGACTTACTTTGAGTATCAGCAGTAGCACCTCTAGAAGCAGCATGAAGGAAAGTTATGGTGACCAAAAGATACCACACACTCATAGTTTTCGCCATTGCTGTTGTTTCAGAACACAGAGAAGTTCAAGACAAAGGTAGATCTGTGGGAAACAGGAACGAGTCAGTGTTATGTCTGCCTCAATCTGGTGACTTCTGGTTCAAAACTATATGGAAGTGGTTCCACCAACCGGGTGGCCCGCTCCAACTTGTTTTTTTCTTTTGTTTTTCTTTTTTTGGGTCTGATCAAGTATCTTCTCTCTTTAAAATTATTTATAAAAAAAAAAAATTATAAACTATATTATATTCTACGGATAATACAATACTACACTTAATATATAATATAATTTGTAAATATAAATTATCCTTTAAAATTATTATGGAATTTTTATAGGAATAGTTCATTTTTCTGTCGGTGAGGTTATATTTAGTTATTCAAAACTGGGGGAGGGCAATCATGGTATTGTCAAATAATGAAAAAGACTCGGGAATATACCACCGTTGTGCAGCAGGGTGTTAATATGCATGGTACAGGGAATTCTAATCTTCCTTTATTTTTACAACCAGGTTGATAATATAAATTTAGCTAAACTACAACTATCTTGAGGTAATTCTATTCGGAAATTAAGGTTTTAAGCTGTGACTTCTACTTACTTCACAACAACACTAACTGGAGTGTTAAAATATGTTAAATGTTGTAATTTTAAAGCAGGCACTAAAATCTATGGCAAAAATCATCACTTAACACCATTTATGATAAAAACTGTCACTTAATATGGAGATGTATCATATTAGATCATTCAGAAATATAAACCAAATGAAAGCTGAATCCATGAAATTGGAAGAACTTATTAAGGGGTGTTTGGTTCGGGTTTTCTTATAAGATGCCCAGACATTAGACATTGACATTTTATGAAGATAACGTTTGATTCAAATTTTAAAATTTTTTCCCAACAAACTGATTTGGCCATGCTTTCACAATTATTTACAAAAACTAATGAGAAACACATACCAATAATGCCACTTTGAATGTGGTATTATATGATAACCGGGCAAAAGGGTTACTTTTATAATTTTATACTATTTTTCTATCAATATTTTATCCTCAACCAAACATAGATTTCAAAAAACTTAGTCAATTTTTTTAATAATATTTCGTCCTACCAAATAACTTTTTTTCAACTTTATCAGCAAATTTACTTTCCCACATTTTTTCCAGTAATTATATTTTTCTGATAAAAAAAAATTCCTCTTCTACCAAACACTCCCTTAATGGTTTTGCAAAATGTAAGCTCTCTCCTTAAATAAATTTTTTAATTTTTTTTATATCGACTATAATTATTTCTTTGAAATGAATTGACTCTCCATATCTTCACAAATTTTAACTATTTGAGTATGCTATATGACTATTCCCAAATCAGGGCTTAGCCACAGCTAATACTTGTCGTTGCACCTCAAAAATATATTTGGTGGGACTTTTAACTGCTCCTTGATCAATTGTTAAAATGCATTAACAATTGACTTTATTACTTTAATTATATTAGCCTTATTTAATAATTTATAATACACATTTATTTAATACATTTGTCCATAAATTAAATTTAACTCCAACATCAAAATATTATTAGAAGAAACTTTTTTCAATTTGTTCATGCTAAGACGATGGTAATATACAAATATATATTGAATGCACATTCATTTTTAGTCGGGTATATTTGGTGATGTTTTAGAAACAAAAAATTTTCTTTCCAATTATTTTAAGGGAAAAACTAATATTATGTAACATGATATAAATTTTTTTACCCACTCTCACATTGGTTTCCGCACTAGCATTTTTTATTTTTTGTATTTATTATATGTATGGGACCCACATGCATATTTGTTTGAGTAGGAAAAATTGGTTAGGTTATGTTACACGATAGTAACTTTATCCTTATTTTAATTAGTTATACTTGATAACATAATTCTGTTTTAAAATAGTATTAATAATTATACTTTGTAATTTTTTTATATAAAAAACAACGATTTATATATGATTTTAAAGTAAAATTTTTTTAACTCATCATATTAAACTCAAGAACAATAGTAGTGATAGAAATTCCAAGTAACACAGTAGCTATGCTCATAAAAAATGGTGATGTTGCTCGTGAATCCCATTTGGTGACTCGGATACAAGCTTGATTAGCCAAAGATTGGAGGTTCGCATCAGCCATATTTATCGAGAAGAAAATCAAAGTGCAGACTGGATAACAAATTTCTCACTGGATCATCCACAAGAGGAGCTATACTGTCATCATCGAGACCCTCCCCCGATGTTAGTATTTTACTTTTAGCTGATATGGCTTCTATTGATAGCCATCGTAATATTGTTTTCTGATTTAATTTTTGTTTTTCGGCGTGATCCCTTTATTTCACCCAAAAAAAAAATCAATTTTATGAAATACAACTTAAAGTAGAAAAGAAAAGGTTTAATGTACAAAAAAAAAAGGGTTTATTACAAGGAAATAAATTAATGTTTAAAAAATAAAAAATAGGACTGGAGAATAATTATGGCAATCAATAAGGGCATATTTGCAATAATGTTGGGGGAAAAAGAAGAGGATAAGAAAGAACCAACAAATTGGTTACCTTATCTGCATCAACAAGAGAGACAGACAGACAACCAGCATAGAAAGAAAAAAAGTATCTATCTGATTATGTTGTGAGGGAATGGCGTCACTTGGCACCCCTGCGCATGTTAGCAACAAGAAGCCCTTGCATTGTCCCACCTCGAAGCCGAAGCGCGTGAGGTGCGCAGTGTCACCCCCAGCATGGCAGGAAGGCCGGCGCGTGGTGTCAATCTCTCTAGTTCTCTCACACTTGCTTCTCATTCCTAACCGTATGGCCTCACAACTTCACACTCATATTTTTTTTCTGCATATTGGATTGGTTTTATGATCACAGTGTCTTCCACGTTGCAGGTGCTGTTGCTGAAGGAAGTGTTTTTGATAAGTATGTTAAGAGGTATCATCACTATGTCATGGATTTGTAACAATACTCGTATTAATTAATGTAACAGGTAGTTGGTTCCTATAATTAGTTTGGTTAGCAGTTACAAGTTGGTTTTCACGAGGTTTTATCATAATTTTGGATTTTCTTTTTATGAGAGAGATTTGGAAAAAGTATTTCTCAATTTAAATAATATAAAGTTATGTCATTTCAAGAGATAGATAAACACAAAAAAATATTTTTTATTTAAAATTTTAATTAAAAAAAAATTACTCACTTTCTCTCCTATAATTTTCATTTCTTGTGTCTATTTCTCTCTTCAAATGACATAACTTATGTCATTTACAATAACAAACACCGAACCCGAATGATTTATGGTAGGTATTGTATTGTTGACGTTGGACTTAAAACAATGTTTTTTTCTCCATCTGATGAGTATTGATTTTAAATCTGATTTTCGTTCTTAAATGTTCTAGAAAAAAGCTTGATCCTCTGGAGGCTTATGTACCAGCTGTCATACTTACAGAGTTTCAGATCAAGGACTTGGGTAATGCCTTTCTTTTTCCTTAACCACTACCTTTGTCATGATAAATATTCAATTATTAGAAAATCTCTGTGATTCCAACATTTTGAAGTCATGTATTGTATTATTTGCTAGGCTTCCGACTTTCACTGTTCATTCATTTCTCTCATTTGGATTGGAACATTTTGCTAAGATAAGATAACTATTAAAAAACAAATAAAACACTACATAAATGCAGAGTTATGGGAATGTATTTCTTGTATTTCTGATTGGAAATCTGGACATCATTGTTATGCCTGTATGCATGTATTATTTTGATTCACATAGCTTGATCTTCTTGTTATTCCTTTCCATTTTCTCTGTTGGCTATTAGTATTGCTGCTGTAGGTGTTCGTGTGACATGGTTTGCAACAATATAAATTGAAGGTGATATAAAATATACTTATGCTTTTCTTTTTTCCACTACTATAGAAAAAACATTAGAGGGTGATGAACCCCAATTTTCCTTCTGCCGATCTCTACTTCGTTCTGGGCCTGCAGCTTCACTTCGTGTAAATATTCGAGCAGTAAGTAGACCTCCTTCAACTTCTGAGTTTTACTGCACTCTCCCATTTCTGGTTCTTATTCCCTTCTACTTTTGGATGTGAGAATGTTTTGAGTCAGTTGAAAGCTTTCTGAGGCTTCATTTTTGTAATTGAATATAAAGTATTCACGTATTTACAGCAAGTATTATCTTCTTAATCAAAATTTCGAAATTTGATGCCAAGCTTCTATTTGCTCATGGAAACTACACATTTTGGTTGTTACTGTCTCCATTCAGGAGTGAAGAAATATACAAGAGAGAGCATTGTAAACTGCTTGATATAGCCATTCTTACTTAATCGTCAAGCAAAGTTCAAAAGGCTCATTGATTCTTGTTCCAAGCTCAAATCTATTTCTCCTTCTCAATGTCTGTCAAGATTCACTTTACGGTATATTTATGTGTATGAAAGTTAATTAGAGGTTCAGAATCTTTTTATAGGTGGCGCAGTATGCATCCGACAGTGGCAATGGTAAAACTGCATTCAACAATGTTGATGATTGTCTGAGGTATTATAATCAATTCCCATTTCCCTAAAAAAAAAAAAAGGTGCATGAAATAAGTATCACAACTGGCCATTGAGCCATAGGCTGTATAGAAATAAATTTTATAAGATGAAAAACTCAAACCCTAAGTGAAGAATTCTATTTCTGAAGGTCACTGGAGGAACTTGATTCCTTGCTTCTGCATGCATCAAGAAAGGATCCTGAAGCCTCAGTCAAATCAATGAAGGCAAAAATCAGTTCTGCCCTTAACGCTCTGGACAGGTGATTTGTTGTTGTTTTTTTTTTTCTTGCACATCATATCCCTCGTGCATCTCGCACATATTTTTCTGTTGACGGGGTGTTTGGTAGAAGAAGAAAAAAAAAAGAATCACGAGGGAATCATAATTCCAGAAATATGGTGAAAAAGTGAGTTTTCCGAAAATATTACCAAAAAATTGTTTGGTAAACCAAAATATTACCGGAATTTTTGTCAGAATTTTCACATCTAATTTTTCATTTTTCCAGGAAAGTGATAATATCAATTACCACTCTCTGGGTGGTATTTTGGTTTACATTTTACACAACAAAATCTTGGTAATGTGATTTTTTTGAAATCTTGTGTGTAAAATGTAAACAAAAATACCACCTAAGAGTGTGTATTTTCACTTTTATGGAAAAATGAAAAACTAAATGTGAAAATTCTGACAAAAATTTCGGTAATATTTTAGCCAATCAAATAATTTTTTGATAATATTTCTGAAAAATTCACTTTTTCTCTATGTTTCTGGTGTAAAAAAAAAAATTCTCCTGTACCAAACACTCCTTGAGTGTCAATCCAACTTACACGAAAGATGCTATTCTAAATAAGCGCTCTGTTTCAGCCTCTTACAAACTGTACCTTCGGATGTGCTAAGGAAGGGGAAGGTTATAGCTGATTCATACAGGGACCCGGAAGACGTGGAAACAGAGAGTTTGGACCCTGAATTACAGCAATTAGAATCAATACTATGAATAGTCAACATACTTTTTCGCCTTTTGAGTATTAGCCAGCATAGTTGAGTTGAGATTATGGGACCTATGTTACGAAATGTTGAACCTTAAAAAACAGTTAACAATGTGTATTAAAAAAGGTTTTCACTTATCGATTAATTTTCAAACTTCATCGAGTCACTTTATCTTCGGTGTGATTTAAGATCAAGTAAAATCAGTCATCAACGTACAACATCCTTGTATGTGTATATAGAGTCCTATGCTAAAATCAAGCCTTAATTTGGAAATTATGGATTATAGAGATATGTGAGAAGGTATATTATCAAGGTAGAATGTGGTTAACTCGTAAATGAGGAAAATGGCGCAAACGCATACACAAGTCCCAACCCTCGCCATTCCATCAATTTTGGAGCGAATAAAAACCAAAGAAAATGTATTCTCCGACACCTTCACATTACCCTAAATCCTATTTTCTGTCCTCCCCCATTTTTCACCTTCCATAGAAGCAGTACTGTTGCGGATTAAATCTGTGAGAACGCTGCCTCCACTTTAGATTGCTGCCTCCACTTTAGATTGCTAAATTGATCTAAAGGCTTGTTTGGTGTGATATATAAAGCCTGGTGTGATATATAAAACCTGATAGTATAAGCTTATACTATACGTTATGACATTTTCAGTTGTTTGGTGTGACCATCGTATAGTATAAACTTATACAGCAGAACCCTTTTATACATTAAAATGATGTATAACTTAATCCGGCCTAAGAGTGATAGATTAGGCCTGATAAAGGATTGATGTATTAATATTGCTTACAAGTACAATTCCCAAGAACTAATATATCATTTCAATATTTATATATTAAAATATTTTTTTTTAATATATTAATTTTTAAAATATTGAAGAATATTATCTTATACAATATCATACCAAACGCTGAATAATATTAAAATTTAATCAAGTCTTATGCTATCAGGTCTTATGCTATTAGACCTTATTCTATACTATGCTCTAAACATGCCCTAAGGTCATTATTTTCCATTGTCCGGATGGACGATTAGGTTAAACTGAACAACACATGCTAATCAAAAGCTTCCAAATAAACTCACGGGAACAATGGTTTAATTCATAATCATTCATACGAATTTGTGACATATAAGGACTATACGATATCCGCTCCAAAAAAATATATGATGAGAAACCTAGCTTTCAGATCTTGACATTGTCCAAACGTTTGTCAACTTACATTTAGAAAGACAAGCACGGATACCCAAATTATTCCCTGTCCGCGAGCCTCTTTGAGAGGAATCGTTGTGTAATGTTTTCAGACGATTGGACGAATCATATGTCAATACGTCATCAATGATATCTTGGTGTTAAACTGTTAATCATATGTTCTGGTGATGGTAACTACACATTGATGTACAAATAAGCTATATAAATTTAGAGAACATGCTTTGCTATTATATTTTATCAATGGCCATAAAGCACAATTTACGGCATCATGATATACTAAATATTGCAACGTCCTACTGCAAGAAGGATCGAACGCGTATTCCTCACAACAAACAAGTACTGATTAGACTGCTTTGGAATAAAAATAAAAATAAATCAAAATTTAAGTGTCTGATTTATAGAAATTGCAAGTAGAACAAAGATATTGCAACATTACCATAAGAGATTGACCTGATTTCCATAAGTCAAACAAACAAACAGTAAAAAATTTAGCCATTTACAACACATGAGTAAATAACCAGATTTATTACCAGGCGTGCCTCATCCGAGTGAATAAGCACTGGAGAAAAATTTGATATCTTTGATCGAGTTCATGAAGTTGACAAGCTGCTGTATATACGCTTCAAACTTGAACATATTGCACGTAATCTCCCCATGCTCATTGAGCTTAGCTATGAAGCCCCATAGAGTATACAATTAGTTCAAGAACATCGACCAAAAACAAATGTCATACATTCCATCATCATGTATGAAAAGGTTAATTAGCTACTAAAAGCATCAGACAACATACAAAGTCATGGGGGAATATAATAAAAAAGTGTTTGCTCTCACCTTTGGACAAAAGCGAACATCAAGAGTTTCCAGCATAGTACATTTTGATATAGCAGCTTCAACGGCTTCCTCATCAATATTGCAAGACTAAAAAGCCAAAAATACCAAACCCCAAAAAATTAATAAAACAAATAGGTTCAACACAAATTGATCAAGGGTGAATCGCAGGAACTTGATTCTAAATTTGATTGACAATATCTCGGGCCAATACATTTCATACAGGCTGCATTTCTGGTGGAGAACAAAAAGCCAATCCCAAATCTAAACATTTTTCCATAAAAGACTTAGAAAGCGTTTGGTATGCGACTTATTTGTGAATGTCCGGGAAAGTCAGGTAGGAGAAAAATATTATCAATGTTTGGTAGCTGACATCTGAAAATTTGCCAGGCGAAATGTGTTTACAGGAAAATGTTTGTGTGTGATAAATATTGTACGGTATGACAAATATGAAAGCCAAAAAATAGGTGGATTTTTTCACTGTCCGAGAAACCAAAAGTTAAGCACGAAATTCAAGACAAAATTTGGTAACCAACCAATATTTCAAAAGGTAAATGTGAGATTATTTTGGTAAAATAACCTCACATTTCCACTAATATTCCATAATCAACCAAACACAAACTCAGTAAAATAACCTTTATTTTTCCGGAAAAATATACGTTTACCAAACAGTTTTTTAGTAATAATTCAGTAAAATATATTTTCAGCTATATTTCGGTAATAATTATTTCCCAGATAAAAAAGAATTTCTCTTCTTCCAAACGCCCCCTTAATGCAAACCTTTAGAGTTTAGAAGAAGCCTTTAGATAACAAATCACTCAATTATATGAGGCTTGGGAGGAGCCCCGCAACCCAAGCCAAGACAATGAAGCAAACTTGAATTAATTCAATACTACAAAGCAGGGAAATGCTTTAAACCCAACATTTCAATAAATTTCACAGGTAAGATGATACTTCATAACCAACATATGACATGATATATTGTAAAGCATATCTAAAATTCCAAGATCTGACAATCATGAAGCATCAATGTTCACAACATTATGAGTGCATCAATAGATTAAAATTGGCAGGTAAGACTAATACCTGAAGGAATAGACTGGTCAATCTTGGACACTCTAGCTTCAAAATTTCCAAAGAGGAACAATTGCTGAACGAAGAAGTTAAAACATTATCGCATCTGATATAATAAGGATTGAAACTAACCCACACTTATTAGAGAGCCAACCATACCTTAAATTAAGAAAGCATAGGTTGGGACAAGTAACATCAACCTCCCTCAAATTTGTTGAGAGAGAAAGGTTTAAAAATAATAAATGGAAACAGTGTCCCATTGAAGGAATGACAACCTTCCTAACATTTGGACATCCCACACAGTTGAGGTTCTCCAGTGAGCGGGTGGATTGCTCACATGATTCAGGGACATTCTTGTGAGGACTTGCACCATATGGGGTGCTTGCAGCATGTAACTCATCAATCTGCCCATGACTGCGTCCCCAATTCAAATCATGCATATTCACACAGCCATTCAAGCTCACACGAATGAGGTTTGTGCAGCAAGCAAGAAGCTCCTCTATGGCTGACTGACAGAGAGTTCCGTAAGACAAGTCCAACTCCTGCAGTGCAGGTAAAGCACCTTCTTTGTAAAGAGGTTCAAGCGATGTGTCGGTGAGATATTTGCATGCCTGCAACTTTAACACCTTCATGAAACAAAAAAAGTAGCACTATCAGAAAAGATGAAGACAATAATTATATAAAATGTTAAAAGTTATAAGGAAAAAGATGGAAAGAGAGATGAGAAGAGAGTCTGAAAAATTAAAATTATGATGATATGATGTCAAGAGATTAGTATAAAACACTGAACATTAACAAAATAGTCCTATTTATCCTAATATTCTAATTCAAGTACTAGTGCAGTACAACTGCTAAAATCCTAGCTCATTAGCACCACTAAGGACTAACAATATACAATTCCTAAAACAGTAAGAAGATTCCTAATATTCTAAAATAACGAAAGATAACAGACCATTCTTTGGTAACTCTTACCTTTAGTTGCGAACAAGATTCAAAAACAGGCTGCAAGCTCACCAAGAAAGTGTATGATAAGTCAAGAACAGTCAAATTTGGAAGCCAACGCAGAGATCGAAGACCATCCAAACCAATTGATGAGCAGGACATCAATATTAATGATTCAATAAGTGGGCATGAGGCAGTTGTTGCAGACAAGCAGTCATCTGTTAGTTCGCTGTAATTCCAAACAATAAACATCAGTCAGCATTCAAGGAGGATACCGAAGAAAATAACACACAACATAACCTGCAAAAGGAAGCATCCAGGGATGTTAAGAGTGGACAATTAATGAAAGCTTCAGATAGAACACCACATCCTTTCAACTCAAGTGAAACCAAAAACGGTGCTTCAATGCTGAGTACGTTCAATTTTGGACATATTCCTAAATTGAGAGAGGGAAGACCAACCTGAGAAACAAGTGAAGAAAAGAAAGCACTTAGCCTCTAGCTGCCGTAAATCAGAAGAATAATTAAATTTCAACCCCTTGGCCTTGAGTATATTTCATAAACCTAGGCCTAAGTCACAACCCAACAGCACCCATACCACTGCCATTAAAGAAGGGGGAAAAAACCATATGTCTTGCATCGCAAAGTATAAAATTTTTGTTAAAAGATTGCTGACAGAAAAATACACAATCAGAAAACTTCATACTAATATTTGGTAGTCTTAATTGTAGACTAATCATTTTATGTTGCAATCAAAAAAGCATAAGGAAATAAAAAGTTTCATCTCAAGCAAAAACAGAATATAAAACAGCTAATAAATCAATGCTACTTACAGGACAAAATGATGCTCTTTCCAAATGATCACAACCATCCAAAATAACTTTATCAAGATTAGGGCATGAAAGCTCGAGATTAGTTATTGACCGGCAACCACCAAGGGAAAGACTGAGTAAAGAGGTACTGATGAATCCAACTGATGTCAAACTCTGAATTTCAAAAATAATAATAATAAAAAAAAAATACTATAGGTTAGTGTTTTAAAAATGATCAGAGATTAAAAAAAGCAACAATTATCGAAATCATAGGGTAATAACACCTTAGGCCAAATTTACATCTTAAATTTCAAAATATGGAGTTATGGACTGTTACTGGATAAGATGACTAGATATAATCCACATAATCCATTAGTCCACACCACCAGTGTAGAGCATGAACAAGCAAATTTGGGAAAGTGAGCCCCAAATGGGAATTGATTCACATACCTCACAATTATCAAGAACTAATAATTTCAACATCGGGCACCCTCCACCATCACTAAAAACATCACATACAGAGTTAGTCAAAGATTCACACTCAGAGAGATCCACTTCTTGTAAAGATTGGCACTGCAGAGCTAATGTGGTTAAGCTGTCCTGCTTTGGTATTGCTAATTTCTGCATTGCCACAAATTCCATCGTTTAGAATTCTATAGTATACACAAGTATGGGAACGAAAAATAACAGACATAATTATGACATACTTGAAGTGAATTTGAAGTGATGTTAATACGGTGAAGTGCAGGGCAATTGGACACTAGCATAGAAGAAAGCATTATAGTCCTCAAGCTCAAATCAGCCAATCTACCAAGGAAAATAATTTAAAAAGAAATTAGAGAATAATCAAAAACAGAGATAGGGCAAGAACTGAAGCATCAAAGAATCAAGATACAGAGAAAGATACACGAGAAATAGATTATTTTTCTGGAGATGAAAAAAATGGGGCAGAAACATACTTGCGACAATGTACTAATCTAATATTCTGCAAACGAGGAAGATCCAAAGACACTGAAGTCAACAGGCTACAATTATCAAGCTCCAGAACCTGTTATAGAAGTCACATCATTTACTCATCTTGTAAATCTATACTCGTGAATTAAGACATATCAGTATCTCAGACTAATTACAAACCTCCAACATATAACTATGAGATATTGCAGCCATGGAAGCTGAAGTGATGCCTTCACAACTGTGAAGCTTCAGAACTGTCAACATTGGCAGCCTAACAGACTTCAAAGAGAAAACAAGCATGTCAAACAAAGGCAGATTAAAATCTACACAGGCAAAAGGTGATTGTAGACTCTAAAACATACCTCCAAAGATATGTTCGTGCAGTATGATGCATCAAGAAAACTAAGGTTAGCACAAATCTGGGATATTTCACGTAGTGTTTCATCACTAACACATGAACAATTAGACATGTCCAGAGAAACTAATTGCGGGCATGATGTTGCAGCTGAGCGAATTGCAGAATCAGGAAGTTTGTGGCAAGAGCCTATGTCAAGCTCATGCAAAAGGGGGCAATTAAGCACAACATGTGCCATGTTACTGCGCTTCAATGACAAAGTTTCAAGTTGTGGGCACCTAAAAATGAATAAACAATCACGTTTCAGATCATTGGTAAAGAGACAGCTAAATATAAGTTAAGCATCAATTCACCACATATTCACCTGACTGCTATACGCATAACACGGCATTTTGTCAACTGAAGATGACACAACCTATCATGATTAATAGGTATCTCCTGAGCAAAACTACCAAGTACAGCTTCATTGATGGTCAATCTTTTCAACATTGAACAATCGGCCAAAGCATGGAAAAAACTATCCATTATATGTCCTCCTCCCAATGTTAAAACCTCAAGATTTCTGAAAATGAAGATAAAGAATCAGCCAGAGTCACAAATAATTAAATTGACAGCCCAATTACCACAGAAACTACCTACCTTAATGAAGAGATAGCCTTCATGACAAGCAGGTAAATAGCAGAACCAGATATGTTCACTGCTGTGGCATTAGGATAACGTCTACACATGTCCTCTACTGTAAATACATAAAGCTTTATATTAGCAAAGGGTATTATTTCCAATGCCCATAGTTGAGTGTTAAAAGGTTTGCTGCAACATAAATTTTTTACAAATAACAATTTACTACAACAAATATATTCAGGCTCACATTGCTCTTCAGATATGTTCCGATCTTCAAAATTCAAACTCCTCCAGAAGTCTTCATGAGCACTAGCAGTTCGCCACTGCTTACAAACCATGGCAGCTTTGCAGAGATTTGGATGATCCAAAAATGAGAAAACCTAAATTACATGGGTAGGGTAAGGGGGGAATTCAAAACCATTAAAAGAGAAATAAATAGCACAAAAATTATTCTTTTTCCGGGAGCATACCATATGCAACAAGTCATCCGTAAAATCCATCTTAACATCTGGATCATCCACTTTTGAGATGTCATTGTCATCTCCTTCACTGTCTCGAAGAGATGAGGCTTGAAAATTATCATAATCCCCATAGTCAGCAGATGCACTGGATTCCCCAGCATTCGAAGACGTTGGAATTGCACCACGAAAGCCACTGCAAAACAAAATGAATCATCAGTATATCATATTCCACGACAGTTTGCAGTTTCCAGTTCAGAAATAAACATCAATCGTGAGTTCGTAACACAACCCTAGCCAAGAACATCACTTTTCAAAATAAGGCCAAATGCCAATGATTCAACTAAAAAGAGGAGCTTGCATTTAAAGAGCCAGATAATTCATGCATTTGCAAAGAAGAGTACAGTTAGAGTAACAAAAACTCACTCGAAATCATTGTAAACTTTGGCACGCTTGTGGTGAGAATCGCGACTATCGTCGGCAATAACAGCAGAAGCGGAGCTACTCCCTCCAATAGAGCGCCGCCGGTTGGACGAAGCCCTCTCCATCTCATCAAACGATATCAACTGCTCCTCATTCAAAATGTAGTTTCTGAAAATGAATTTGAACGACAGCTTGAACCATAGAAAGAACCAAAACTTCATGCACTTGGAGATTTCAGATGAGCACCTTCCGAACCCTAGGTCTCGATCCCACACATTTTGCTGTAAGAAATTGGAGCACTGTGAACCCTAATTCGTAAGAAATCGATTTCAGAGATCGAATTGATGGAGAGTTTCTCACACAAAGAGGAGATTGAATGGATCTGGTGGGATACTGGGAGCTACTTTCTTGGGATTTTTGGTTCTTCGTTCTGTATCTCACTCACCATTCTTCTTCGTGCGGAAAGCTAATAAGAGACTGCGAGACAGAGACGATGCCGTGTAGGGGTGTTCTCATTTTGAAATTGCTGTTTGCTGCATTTTCTTTTCTCATTTTGTGGGGTGTAAAAAGGGAATAAATTTTGGTGCCATTGTCCTCTAAAGATTCAGTGCATCTTACTAACGGGAGTTTATTAATGAGAGCATTAAACATCAGCCAAAGTTCTTTGTCTTCTGCAAAATGTTTTCTCTCTCCTCTAATGTGTAATGCTACCATTAGTGAGATGCACTGAATCTAAGTGCAACACTAGCATTAAAGATTTATTCAAAAAAATGGTTTGATAAAGGGATATAAGTTATCTTATCTTATCTCAGGAGAGAAGCATACACAAAGAATGAAAATTATAGGAAAAAAAGTGTGTGATTTTTTTTAATTTAAATTTAAAATAAAAAATTATTTTGTGACTATCTCTTTTTTAAGAAGACATAATTTTATATCATTTAAAATCATAAATACTTTTCGATATAAAAATGGATTATAGTGTTATACTAAAAAAAATGTATTATAGTTACTGGCCCCAATTTTAAAACCTTATTTTTTTTATCCTAATTCATATAAAGTTCATTTCAGTATAGGTTTTTTTTTTAATACAAATTATTAAAGCGTATTATATTACTAAATATTGTCTCGAGATTGTTAGAAAAAATATGTTAAATCATTGAGAGAGTATAATCTATGTCAGAGAAGTCACTTGGACAATATTCACAATTTCATGCACACTAGAAATTAAAATATGCAATAACACAAAATTAAAGTGTACCATGTGAAAATATATGAACGCAACAAGAAAAAATCCGAGTCCAGTATTAGATATTGTATCCTTAAGATAATATTGCTCTATATTTGGTGCCCAAGATTTGCAGACAATTGTCTCCCAAAGAACGGATTACCTCTATTATTGTGGCAGCATGAAACGACATATTCATTCATCAACGAAACAATATATCCGTTCATCGACGAAACGACACATCCGTTCATTGACGAAACAACATATCTATTCATTAACGAAATGATACATCTTCATCGACGAAATGATGCATCCGTTCATCAACGAAATGACACATTTTTTCAAATCAAACTTCTTATTCATCAAAATAATTAATTTAAAATTAATCACAATAATCCCCCACATGAATAAAAAATTATAATTTTTATTAATTAAAAATAAAAATTTAAATATTTATAACTACACAATAAAGTATAAGCACAATAAATTAAAAATATATTTACGTATATAATTATATATAATATATACAATAAATATAAAGTTTAATAATTCAATAAAATTCTTGCATCCATATGTGTTCGGCTCTAGACTGTCAACGAACTAGCAATCTCAAACTTTTATAATCCTTTCTTTCTTTTTGGGTGTAGGGGGATTATTATCAGTTTTTGCGATAGGAACATTAATGAAGTTAAGCATTTCCTAGCAGGGTACTATTAGGGGAAAACCATAGCAGGCTACTCTATTTTGCAAGAACCACTCTCTGTCTATTATAAGCCCTCCTCGCCGATTTGAATACATCATGTGGCTCTTCGTCTCTTTGTCATGTATTTTTTTTTTTTTCAATCGCCGTTATGAGATTTTCATTCTTCGATAATGACTGTGTTGCCGTATTTATATTACTCAAGTCATGAATGAAATAAGAAGAAAAATTTATTGTCGGGCACGACAAATATACCAATTATACAAGTAATAAAAAAAAAATTATGCACTGATAACTTGCAAAAAAAAAAAACCACTAATGTTTTAATAAAATAATAATTTAAGATATTAAATTCATATTTTTGTCCTAAACTTATAAGTTTTAAGGCTTTATTTTGCATTTAAAATAAGGTTTGATGTTTGTCATTTTAAATGACACAAGTTATGTCATTTAAAGAGAGATAGACACGAGGAATGAAAATCATTGGAGAGAAAGAGATTATAATTTTTTTAATTTAAATTTTAAATAAAAAATTATTATGCGTTTATCTCTCTCTTAAAATGACATAATTTTATGTCATTTAAAATGATAAATATTTTTTCCTTTAAAATATTATAAATTTAAGGTCTATTATTTTATTTTTTTTCAGTCACCATTATGAGAATTTCATTCTTCAATAGAACATGCATGGTCATATTTCTGTCACTCACGAATGAAACAAAAGGACAAAAAAAATTATACCATTGGGTTGTCAACAATATCCATTTTTTTTTCTTTTGTTCTGTTAGGGTGGTAATTTTATTTATTTTCATAATATAAAGCTGGGTGCCTGGGTCTCAATCTTTATAATATTTGTAGATGACATGGAAAAAGAAGCTCTTAATTAGACTTCCCCTCGCAGCACAGGATATATATATTTTGTTTTGTTCTATCCTTGTCATTTTGAAATTTCAGAAACAACAATGATATAACGAAAGTTCAAGAAATGTGTTGCAATGAGTTTTCGGTCTTTTCTTTTTGGGTTTTATAAGAGTTATGTTGTAAAAAAAGTGATTGTGTAATGTTATAGAGATTCGTTTTGTGTGCCGTAATTTCTTTTTTTTCTTTTTCTTTTTAAAGAATGGGTTCCACAAAATATTGTGTGTGTAAAAAAATTTATTGTGTCATGTTAAATGACAAATGTAAATCTCCTTCTTTTTTGAAAAAAAATCTAGTTTTTTTATTAATTATCCTATTGTTTTGGGGCACATTGCACAAAGAGAGAGAGAGAATGATGACATTAAGTAAGAGTCTTTTGAAGCAGATCTCAAATTTGTATTAAAATACGGATTTATAAATTTAAAAAAAATATTATTTTTCTGATAATTAATATTGTGGGCATGAATAAGTTCTATGAGAATTGTTGGATTATTTCTCCTTGATTATATACAAGTTCCAATGCATGGAAGAATGACAAGGCTTCGTGGAAAAATGAAAAGACTTCATAGGAGAACGAAGAGTGGTATTGAAATCCTCCACATTAAATAAACAAGAATGTAGAGCATTGAATATATCCCTCCTAACCATCTATAGAGGAATATATGAGATCAACAAAGTGAGGTGAAGAAATCCTCCATGAGAGAAAGAACCCGACTGAATATCTCTAGGGAGAAGTTTGAGTGAGACCTCTCTAGGGAAGTTTGAATACAACCATTGTAGGTGTTGCTTGATTATTTGAGAGTACCTCTGAAGAGATGTTTGAGTGTTAGACATTTTAAGGGACGTTTGATGTTACCATCGTACTTGGTGAACCTTGATTGTACCTCTAGTGAAAGACTAGGAAAACTTGACTCTTGTAACCCATTATTCTTACAGTGGAAGTTTGATTATAGATTAGTGTTCCGTGGATTTTTACTTCTTCGCATTGGAGAAGGTTTTCCCACATTAAACAAATTTAGCCGTGTTCTTCTCCAACTCTCTCCTCTTGTATTTTACTGTTTCGTTTCCGCAATCGACTTGAGGGTCCGACTTAACCCAACAAGAATAAACCCTCTCATAACTAATTTGAATATGATTATGTTATGTGGTAAATCTTAACCATTCAATAACAGATTAAAGATCAAAATATTTATGAAAAATTATAAAAAATAAGAAATGTTCAAATTTGTTGTTAATCATTTATCATTAATTGCCAAGTATTGGTCTATCATTGAAATGTTGAGATCCACATGACCTAATCAGGTTAAAGTTACATATACGAGAAATTTCTGGTAGTTAAAATCTCGATTTAAATACGCGATTTTACGATTTTTTTCAATCAAAACGATTTCATCAAAATTTCAAACTGATCCGGATAAAATATAGGCCCAATTAGGGCCCAACGACACATTAGGAAGCCCAAGCCCATTAGAGACCAGAGCAAAGCACGAAGGACGGGTACTGCGCGCAAGACGCGATGCCCTCAGCGCGACAGACAAGACGCGATGCCCTCATCGCGACCGACAAGGCGCGATACCCACATCGCGTATGAAACCTTCTTCACGAAGTAAACTCAAGGCCCAAGGCAGTCCCACCGCGCCTTGACTCCAATAAACAACAGACAGCTTCAGCTCGCCGTAACTCTACCACTAGACACTATAGAAGATAAGGTTATAGAAGATAAGGCTACTCAGGTCCCCTGACCGACCTGCAGCCCAAGCCTGGCCACTCAGAAGCCAAGCCGTCTTACTAAGTTGGCATCCTAACAACTATATAAACAAACGATATACCACCAAGGTATGATCATCATTTACATTAACAACATAAAACACTTGCCTCTGATACTGACTTAAGCATCGGAGTGTCTTCGCAGATACCCCTCATTTGGTGTTAACACACCAATGTGAAGGACAAAGGCAAAAGCACGCCCCAACAGCAATTCCAGGCCCAGGCCAATAACTACTGAAGGTGTCTCAACCGTGTGTGATTGAGCTCAATACATATCGGCTAATCCATGCCGTATTTGGTCTGATCACAAACACTTTTACGATTTTTTACGATATTTGTTACGTTAGGATTTTACGATTTACTATTTTTTATCCTCCTTTCGATTTTAAGTAAAATCTCGATTTTAACTACCATGCGAGAATCCATTCACGGATCATTTTAAATCTTTTTCCTCATTTACCAAAAATAAATAAATAAAATAACAAATAATAAACTATCGACATTTGTCCTTGAAGCTTTATAACTATGCAATTCCCTCTGTAAATTTTTATAAATTAATTAAATTATAAACAGCCTCGATTAATTTAAAAAAAATTAATAAATTTCTTTATGTTTCTAATCTTTTATAATTTAACTAAATTTTCAATTAAATATTTATTAATTATAAAATTATAACTAAGCTCTCAAAATCTATAATTGCAATACAGAATAGCTTTTATAATTACGAACATCTCCTTATACTTTAAAAATACTAAAGTATAAATTTGTACAAGAAAATAAATTACAAAATATTATTTAAAATTTAAGCATTATTTGATTTATTACAGGAAAAAAGATTAGAGAGCTATTCAAAGTTTTACTTAAATAATTTATTGAAAAAATCAAATAGTTAAATTTTCTACC